TAAGACGTTCGAAGAACCCTCAAAGGTGCAGGGTATTAAGGTTGAGGGCTTAGGTCGATATGCTCTGTTGGGGGATGACGATGGAAGGTGGGAATTCTTCTGGTTCCCCGAAGTTGAGTCCGGCTCGATGGGTGTCCTACTTAATAGGATTCTTGCAAGAGCAACTTCCATGGAATCTGTGCCTCCTTTTTGGAGCTCGTACAAGAGGAGGAAGTAGCCTGGCGCAGGGGCCCAGGGACTGATGAGCCCAGAGGCGGCGTCAGAAGAGAAATGGGCCAGCTGCACGGTTCGGGTCGCTGTCCCGCCGAGTGTGCTGGCAGGAGAGCTCCATCGCCTTTGGCTCAGGCGGCAGGAGTCTAAGGGTCAGCAGGAAAGCAGGAAACACTAATTTTTGCCAGGGGCCGCTCAAAAAATCGAGAGCTCCTGAAGAAGAGCCTGCAAAGCCCCTTGCCCCTTCACGCTGAAGTCTCCTTTGCCTTCACTTGAGGCCACGAAAATCAGAGCAGAAAACCCTAAGCCCGAAGACGGGCGCCTCGACGTCACAGCACAACGGTGCCATCGCTATCATGGCCTCAGGCCAGCGGAGAGCAGCAGGCTTTACTCGAGGAACGCCCAAACCTCAAAGCCGAACGCTCAACCGGTACGCACTTTTTTGACCCGCAACATATTATTCAATCGCCCCCCCCCCCCCCCCCCCCCACCCTCACCCAGATGTTTTTGACACCCTGACATTTTTGGGGGAAACGCCCCACTCTAACCCCACCAACATTTTGGACACCCCATGCCCCCACGAACATCTTCCTTTCTCCTCCTTTTACTGCCTGCGCTCGGTTTGGGGCGTCCCAGGTGTCATATTACACACGAATCCCACGAAGCTTCAGTCGGTTTAGGATCACAGAAGCCATCTTGGGGGACCCAGGGCTTCAAGGGGTTTGTTGTGGTGAGTGCAGCCGCTTGTGCCTACAAACAAAGAGAGGAACGCCGCTCTTTCAGTACGACACGCGCTTCCTTTGTGCAATTCAAACAAGTGTTTATTCTGCCCTCGCATGTCGGCGTGCGTTTTTCACACCGCTACCGCGATCCAGGAAGACGTGCACGTCCGGATCCTTCAGACCGCCTCCGCGTTTAGGCCCTTCACGCGTTTAGACCCTTCACGGAGCAACGTTTAGACCCTTCACGGAGCAAAACCGAGAGTCTGAAAAGGCCCTACACGAAAAGCGTGCAGCTTGCAACGGAAGGCCCTGAGCCTCGCACGTGCTCCAGGGCGTGCAGCGCGCCACGATCCACGGAATGCCCCGCCTCCCGGATCCGAATCCGGCTCTTTTGTGTTTGGGGGGGGGCAGAGAGGACTTTGAAGCTTTCAGGGCTTTGAGGTTAAGGGCTGTATTTAGGGCTTTCAGGTTTCGGGGTATTGTCGGCTTCAGAGGCAAAGGCTTGTCAGGGGAGGATGAAGGTGTTTCGGGGGGATCGTGGTTGTTTTGTGACACCTTGGCACCCAAAAAAAGGAGAGGCAGACACAACACAGCGCGGGGATGAAAAGGGGATCAAGTTCTTTGCAGGGATGAAGAAGGGATCGCAGGGTTTCAGGAGGGATAAAGCCTTTCAGGGGGGAGTTAGAGGGGATTAAGGCTTTTTAGGGTTTCAAGTTTCAGGGTCTTCGGTCTGCCTGAGCTAGAGGCTGCAGCACGGCTCCAGGCAAGTCCATCCAGGTGGCACGGGTCTGATACTCCACCTGAGTGCGATGCGTCGGAGCACATCTTAGGGATTTTGCAGGGTTTTCTAGGATTTACGATTCTATAGTAAAAGGTTTAGGGTTTAGGGTTCAGGGCCCTGCAAACGATGGCCGGAATGCGGTTTTTGTACCTCTACATGTGTTTAGGTGCAGTGCGGGTGTCGACTTTGAAATTCTGTTTTGCGGCTACAGGGGCAGAGCTTGACAGGGCTGTTCACGCTTTGAAATTTTCTACACCCTGAACCCCAAAACCCAAACCCGAAACCCCAAATACCGATCTAAGCCCGAAAGATCGCAAATCGCCTTGCTCAGAGGGGCACCCTAAACCCCAAACCCTATACGCCCAATTCGTTCTGCGTGCTAGGCATGTGGCAGCTGGCAGCGTGAGATCCACGGTATCCTCAAGACGGTTCAAGTGATGCGAGGGAAGGGAGCCCAATACTCCTGAATGCCTCAACCCTAAGCTACACTAAAGAACCATAAACATTGGCATTCTTAGTATTCCCTTTGGGATACATGTAGATATAGACAAAAGACGTAGAATGTAGCATAGTCTCAGCAAGAAGCACTTTGTGTAACACTTCACCCAGCTGTGCTCTGACGTTGAGAGGCATGGAAATTGATAGTGGCTGCCCGCCCTAAACCCTAAAACCTGAACCCCAAGCTCTATGTTTCTGCATGCCCGAGTCGGACAGCATCCCAAACCTTGCGCGATGTGGCAGAGACATACTTCCTTGCCTCCCGGACTCTTGAGCGCGTGCCCTCTAAGGGAGTTTTTCATTTTGCGGCATCTTGATCCATGAAGACCCCGCTACTTCCCATGTCATGCTGCAGCGTGATGACGGCACGTGGAGCTACAAGGTAGACTACATAAAGGTTGCTACTGATTTCAACTATACTTGCCGTGCTGACACGTCCACTCTGAGAAGTGCCCTATAAACCCTAGACCCCACACTTTAAACCCTGCTTAAAAGCACGCTCGGGGCCACGCCATGACACTGTGATCCTTCTTGGCCTTCTTGCGGAAGCCGTACATGCGCCTCGAGTGAGGTCTAAGGAGGTTCGGGGGGGGAAGTGCGTTGAAGTTTTGGGGATTTTGGGCTTTGAGATTTAGGACGTGGGGTTTGAAGCGGTTCCGGGTTTAGGGGGGTTTTCAGGTTAAGGGTTAACCCGGGGGGGGGCTCCTCCCTGTAATTGTAGCTGCCCACGGAAGCCGAAACTCTCGAAGATGAGATCCTTAACCCTAAGCCCCCCAACCCCAAGCCCTAAGGCCTTCTCCCGAAAACCCTGAGAAACATCCCACGGCTCGAAGCCCTAAAACCCTGCAGCTCGTCCAAGCGTGGCACCAGTGCACCGTCGCCCGGCCGCTGCGCACGACCGGAGTGCTGGCCTCGGAGGAATGCTTAAAGTTAACAATAGGACAGAGAATACATCATGAGTAAAGGGCAAGAAGATGCTTTTGTTCATGTGTATATATATATATATATGTATATATATATATGTGTACCCAGAATACACGCAATAGGCGCGATACTTAAGTGCACATATATATATATATGTACATAAATAAATAAATAGATAAATATATATATGTATATGCATATGTAGTTGTATATGCATATGTACATGTACATGTATATGTATATGTCTATGTATATGTATCTGCATCTATACATATATACAACATACACATACGCATCTATATGTTCAGATTTATGGGTGTACTGTATGGATTTGAGGGCACAGGCTTGGAGCGCTGCAGCTGGACACTGTTTTCGTCAATGCCGCGGCAGCTGTACAAAGCACTGGCCCACTCACGCCTTGAACCCCCTAAGCTCACCTAGGCAATCCAACGCTGCAGGGTTTAGGGTTTAGGGTGCGGGGTTTCGGAATTAGAGAAACCAAGAGAGAAATTTCAACATCGCCTGGTCCCAAAATGCAGGCTTTCTGAGCGTCTCTGCTGACAGCCCTCAATCCTAAACCCTAAACCCCCGAACCCAGAATAGCCAAACTATGCTCCAGGCCCAGCAGAGTGTGGCCTCCCCGAAGCATGTAAGGTTGTACGGTAGAGCTCACAGTGTTGTTGGGGCTGGGGGGGGGGGGGGGGTTAGGTTACGGTTAAGGATGATAGAGTTTGACTTTCCGTTTATAAGTTCTGAGTTTGCAGTTTAAGTTCGTAGCAGGGTTCGGCGGTTAAAGTTAAACGGGCCCCTATCCCTGAAAACCTTCCATTGGATCGAGGTTCGGTCGAGCCAGAAGGTGTGGATGCGGGGTGAGTCAATTGGCGTCACGTGTTTGCGGGACCTGCGCGGTGGCCAGGTAAGCTGAGAGCAGAGGATCGTAGACCCAAAGCTTGCCACCTTCGTGATTGCCACTGCTGGGCAGACATCACTTGGAGGTTCATGGGTACTTATCCATGGGGTTTACGGAGATAAAAACCAGAAGTACACTTGCCCAACTTATCACCCTACTTATGAATAGGCTTACTCCTAAGTCGGGCTTTGGGCTTCAGTAACGGTAGTTGCCACCCAATGATGGGCCTCCTCAGTCCCCTAGTATGATAATAACTGGCTAGAAGTACAAACCTTCATCTAGTATTTGCTTAAGAACCACCAAAACATTTCAGATTATAATCCCGCTATTGCCCTTGTATAAGGAAGAGTATGTTTTCGGGGGTTTCTCAAGCAAATAGTAGTGATATGTGCCCCTTAAGGGGTACAAGCAGGGACATTCCCCTGCATAACCCCTACAGCCCTTATATCCTAAGTAGCCCCTATGTATCACCTAAGATCCCTTATCAGGTCCCTCCTGTAGTCCCTTGGTACCCATGACACATCCAGGCACACTGTACATGCCCAGGCTCTGCATCGAAGCTGGCTTAGCTCCCAAGCAGCGATGGTGCGGCCCCATTTGGTTTCGGGTTCAGGGTTCAGGCTTCAGGGTTTAGATTCTAGGGTTTAGGGTTTAGGGTTCAGGTTGGGTATAGGGTTTGGGGTTTGGCGTTTAGGGTGTTCGGGTGTTAGGGTTTAGGGCGCCAAGCAGATCTCTACGACTGGTGATGTGCCTCAAATCTTCAATCCCTGCAGGAACCTAGGAATACAGGGGTGCCCCATTTTGTGTGCATGCTCCTTTGCCCTTTTCAAAAGCTGCATAAAGGCTCCGCTGGGCATCTTAGGCACACTAAACCCTAAACCCTAAACCCCCGACACCCTAAACCCTAAACCGGGAGGAACCCTTGTCGGGCTCCCATTCGAGCAGTCGCCGGCCCTCAGGACATCAAGTTCCGTTCGACGAAAGCCTTGGCTTGAGTTTGAATCGAGTTTAGGGTTTAGGGTTTAGGGTTTAGGGTTTAGGGTTTAGCCAAAAACCCTTAACCCTCAACCCGGCTTTCCCATATAAACTTTGAAGAACCACAGTCTAAACCACGGTGGTGGCTCAGCCTGTGCGGGAGTGTCCTTCACTCGATATTGTAGAGAACACGTTGAAGCTTGATTTTTCTCCCATCTGCTGTGAAGACATCCCACGCGATCACCCAGACCATCACCTGTAACGGTTTACAGCTTTTGACTCAAGTCTCCCCCCCTTCCCGCCCCCTCCCCCCCCCCCCCCCCCCCACCCCCTCCCCGCCCCTCCCTCCCCCCCCCCCGCCCCCCCCCCCCCCCCCCCCCTCTCCCCCCACCACCCCGGAGGCTTAGGAGCATGGGTGGGCAAGGTTTTTGATTAGGGAGTCTCACGATTAGTGGACATGCGTTGGGCTCGGTGCACCCTACACCCCACAAAGCCCCACAACTTAGCGCCGTGCCAGGCCCTTTAAGCCCTAAATCGTAGTGTTGAGGGGGGGGGCACATGAAGACATGCCAGCCGAAGGCGCCATGACCTCGTCGCAGGACGCGAACAGGCGCAAGCTGGCCAGGTCATCCTGCGCACTCTTCTAGGCTGGCTCTGAAAACCATCTGAAACACGTGCCTGAAGAACAAAGGTAAAAACCTTTGACAAACCCAACGCCCGAAGCCCTCGACAAAAGCAGAAAAGGGCTTGCCAGGGCTTAGCCGGACGGGTGCACTTCAGGGCGCGATGTTTGGGACAAAATGTGTTTCCTGCACCTGTGTAGTGTTTCGGGCTTGTTTCACGACAAGTTCAAGACGGGTCAAGACACAGCTTCTCGACTGCCTCTTGAACCTGCGACCTCGCACGAAGTCTGCATGCAGCCCGACATTCAACGGACCCCCTTTCTCCGCTCCCATCCTGCAAAACTCAGCCGCGCGACACCTCACAAGTGTCATGACCCAAGTGACCTAAAGCGGCCCAAATCAAATTTCTGAGGCGCTCCGGGTCCCAGGATGTTCCACGTATCCCCCAAGTGTCGCACACGTGACCAAAGAGACCCAAGGGACCCCAACAACCCCCCAAAATGTCCCAAATGTTCCAGGCATTCTCGTTTTGAATAGTGATCGGGTGGTCTGGGGGTGGGCACGTCTTCATACTACTGAGTGCTTCCCAGCTCGCTGGCTTGCAAGCACACCCTAAACCCTACACCCTACACCCTGAACCCTAAACCCTAAACCCTCAGCTCCTTGGGCGTGCGCTGGAGGTTGACGATGACTAGCTGGCCGCCATCCTTAGACCGTAGGAGTTGGGCTTCGCAGGCGAGGTGGTCGGTTTTGGGGCCTTAGGGCTCCACAGGGCTCAGGATTCTAGAGGCCTGAGGCTTCTACAGCAGGTTTAGGTTTAGGGTTCTGCGCGAGTTTGGGTTGGCCATGTTGACCAAAAACACACCGCCTTCGTGAGCGCTTAAGAAGCTAAGGGCTGCCCAAGGGCCTGACTCCCTTCTAGGCTCCCCAATTGCACAGGTGCAGTGAATATACAGCGCCGACGGGAGCCCACAGACCAGAAATCCTAAAGCACCAAAAAGCCCAAAAACCTGCTGAAAATCCAACCCTAAACCCTAAAACCTAAACACGAAAACCCTTAGAATGATGGACCCCACGCCGACAGCCCAAATCAGAAAGCCTAGGCCTAGAGCAGATCTGGCTGTAGAGTCCTGCTAGGGTTTAGGGTTTAGGGTTTAGGGTTTAGGGTTTAGGGTTTAGTCCATGAACCCTTATTAGAAGAGCCTCTGTTTCGCGCGCCCCCCGCAACTCCGCCCCCAAAGTGCCCAAGCGTGGCAGCAAAGTGCCCAACGACCACCGAGGAGCCGGTTTGCCCTCCCGCGGCTGCAGGCACTCCTCTGGTCTCTACGTTGGGTACGTAGAAGTAGGGTTTAGGGTTTAGGGTTTAGGATTTAGGGTTTAGGGTTTTCGGTTTAGGGTTTCGGGTACAGCGGTGGAATTGGGTAGAACCTTGACCTGTTCAGGGTACATTTTTAACCACGCTCATAATGGCGCATGGTCCTCCAAGTAGGAGCTTGCCCATGTCAGAGTCTTCAAAACGAGGCTTTGTGCAGACTGTTTAGGGTTTAGGGTTTAGGGTTTGGGGTTTGGGGTTTAGGGTTTAGTAACTACACTCCCGTAGCTGTCCTTTTCGGTTCAGGGTTTAGGGTCGGGTGCGCTTCTTCACTTGGACTGCCTTTCATGGTGGTGGCTTCATATGGGGTCGGGATGAAGATGCTCGACGTGGAAATTAGGGTGTAGAGTTTAGGCCACCTTCAGTAACACTCGACTGAAGCCAGGCTCGAGTTATAAAGACAACACAACTTTGCCCGCTTTAGATGGCAATGTCGCGACTGTACTCATGGCCTCTATGCCTGCTCAAGAAGATTAGACATGGAAGGTAAAGCATGTCAATTTGTTCGCTTCGTACATGCCTGAGATATCTCCAACACAGAGCGAATGCCTGGTCATCGATTGTGTGAACGAGCAAATATGAGAACGATCAGATAGTTGAGCATGTGGGCAGCACGCGCTACATCTGGGGACTTGGGGGCCCTGATAAAACAAAATCTTTATGGGAATAGAGTATAGCGATTAAGGCCCAAGGCCCACAGAAATTGTTTACATTCATTTCCATTCATCAACCCGCAGATGAACCACCAAGCTCGCTCTGCCCCCAAACTCCACGACAAGTCCTCCGGTAGATCGCAGGCCGTAGGGACGCTGAGGCTGCTGCCTTTTCTCTGCTACTTCCAGTTGCTTTGAGGAATAAATTGGACCGACCTACTATTGGGACCACCCCACGCCGCTACAAAGCCCTGTGAAGCATTTTCGGCTTCATTCACCTGAAACCCTGAAACCCTAAACCCTAGACCCTAAACCCTTAAACCCTAAACGCCCAAAAGCACCGAAGACACCCAAATAGGATTTAATTTCCGGGATGGCAGGCCCTCTGTGCCGCCCAATCGCCGAGCACGACTACCAGGTCGGCTTTCAAGCACTGGACCTTACTTGGAGGCCCATGGTTTAGGGTTTAGGGTTTAGGGTTCTATGGGTAGTTCTCTACGTCAGGGTCTCCTTCTGGGGTTCTTCTTTCACCGTACTAGATGTAGGAGCCAACAAGGGGGTTTAATTTAGAGAAGTGCCCTCATGCGTACCTGATAAGGGACATTTACAGGCGGGTTGCTTCTCTTATCAGGGAAACTATTCACCTGACAGGGTCCTTAGAACTCATGACCCAATTACAACACTGCCCATACCCAGTTTCGCCATGAGCGTGGGTTTAGAGGTACAGGTATCCTTGGACATAAGCACCCACGAGCCTCCAAGTACTACGGCAAGGAATCTCTTGACCTCTTTTTGGACAGCGCTTCTCCAAAAGCCAGAGAACCAAAAGGATGGGTCTGGGGTGAAAATCCTACACCCTAAGCCCTAAATCCTAAACCCTAAACCCTACAGGCTTAGGGTTCAGGGGCTTGAGAAGAGTTGCAAGCGTAAGCTCCGAGCCCGAAGCCCCGAACAATCCGAAAGTCGAGGTATCCCTTTCTGGTGGCTTCTGTGAGAAGGGTTCTCGTACTTTGTGGGTCTGTCATGCGTGCCGCGAAGCCCATGTCCGGTCGTAGGCCGCCTCCATGGAAGGCACGTGCTCCACGGTGTTCCCAAAGTTTACAATCCTAAGTTTAGGGGTTTAGAGGTTTGGGGGTTTAGGGTTTAGGGGTTTAGGGGTTGTAGAGGTTGCTGTGGCGAATGGCTGTTGGCTAGGGAGTGTAATGTTTAGGGCAAGTCCCGCGACGAGCCGGCCGTGCTGAGCTTCAATTCTACAACCCTAATCCCTAAGCCCCGAACCCTGAAAAAACATACGGCTTCCATCCTCGAAACTGTTAAACGCAACAAAAAAGCAATCACTAGATTACGCAGCAACTGAGGAATAGGCAAGGGCTGTTGTTTTGTTGGGTAGGCGGCTAGACGTGATCAAAAAGCCCTGTAGACCTCCTGAATTGTCGTTCCTGGTTTGGGGTACCTTAGTTATATGGTTCCTGTAATGTTTATCTATATATATATATATACATATATAGAACATCGGGTGCGCCAATAAAAGGAACTACCATTAAGCGCCCGGGTACTGGACGACCTAGATCAGCCTTTCCGAGGTGCGTGTCTTGCAACGGCCCGCCGCATTCTTCGCAGCACCTTCAGAAATCTCTATGGCGATGCCAGAGTTTAGGGTTTGGTGCTCAGGGTTTAGGATGGTATGAAAAACTAGAAGACATTTTTATGGAGACGCCCCACGAGAGACCAACAACTTAGGACACAATCGAGCTATAAAGCACAACCTACCCCCTTAACACTTAGCACGCCCAAGCCCCAGTAGTCTAAACCTAAGCCCCCTAAGTTCTGGGACACTAAACTATATTTTATTTCCCCAAACAGTGCTTGCACAATGGGGTTCTTACGTTCAGAGTAAAGGAATTGGTTGCGGGCCGCAACGGCGCACGCGGCGGTGGGGCGGGGCCTTGGTTTCGATGCTCCCGCTGTGGTTTCGCGAATTCCGGCCTCTTCTGGCCTCTTCTCGCGAATTTCGTTGCGTTTCGACGCTCCCGCTGTGGTTTCGCGAGAATTCCGGCCTCTTCTGGCCTGTTCTGGCCTCTTCTGGGGGGGCCACTTAGGTTGCGGGCCGCAACCGACGCTTCCGCTGTGGTTTCGCGCGAATTCCGTTGCGTTTTGATGCTGCCGCTGAGGTTTCTCGCGAATTCCGTTGCGTTTCGATCGCGCGAATTCCTGCCTCTTCTGGCCTTCTGGGGGGGGCCACTTAGATTGCGTGCCGCATTTTTCGAGACCTCTTCTGGCCTCCTTTGGCCTCTTCTGGCCCTCCTCACTGTTTGGGGTCTACGCCGGCATAATTAGCACCTTGGGTTTCTTTGAAAAAAAACAGGTCATATTTCTTAAGGTAAATGTGCCGAGCCTTCCAGTTGCATGGTCGAACAGGCTTGTTGCGGTGCGCACCACGAAGTCCCGCTCAAACCTGCTTGGGGGGCACGCACGCGAGGGTGTAGGGTTTAGGCTACCCCAAAAGCCCGAATGCTCAGGGGCTGAACACCGTAGTCCAAAAAGGGCTAACCTTTATTTGTAATAGGAAAATAAATATATGTTATATATATATATACATATATATATATATATGTATGTATATATATATATATGTATATGTGTATATATATATGTATATATATATGTAGCCAATTATAGCCAAAAAGGTTAAAAGGTCAACTACACGATGTTGCTGAACCCTGGAATCTACACAAAAACTGGGATCATCTATCCCATGCTAACAGAACCCCTGTATGACGAGAATGAACCAGTACCCCCTTCTTGGGAAGTCCTTTTTGGCAGGTTCTCACGTTGACGTCCCCAACAAAAGGGACCACAACTTCGAGAAATGGCCATTGAGTCCCCCGGAAACTCGTTGCGGACATGCAGATGGCCGAGAGTGCAGTTCCCGCACCAACGACTAAACCCTCAGCGCTGAATTGGCTCAGGGTGCTCCGAATTTCCTCAGACCCTAAACCCTAAACCCTAAACCCTAAATCCTAAACCCTAAATCCTAAACCCTCAACCTTCAAGCCAGAGCCTTAGGGTCTAGGGTTCAGGCCACGCATCCAGGGGTTGAATTTGGAGACCCCACAAACTTGGACCCTGCTGCCCATGACGGGCCTGCGCCCACAGTGGGCGCACTCTTCCTGGGCCAAAGGCTACCATACCATTGTAGCGCATTTCAGACCCCCCAATCCGAATCACCGCCCAAAAGCACAACACTCACATGTGCATTTCTATACATTGTCTTCATCCCAAGCCCGAAGCACTAACCCCTAAACTCTAAACCCCAAAGCCTACAACCCTGAAGCCCTAAAACCCTAAACCCTAAACACCTCCAAACCCCAAAGCCTAAAACAGTAAAGCCCTGAACCCTTAAGCCCTAAGTAACCCCTAAGGTCCCTTAAATGGGCCCCTCCGACCACCTCCCTTGAGCCCGAAACCCCCCTCGTCGGCTTCAGGGTTCATGGGGTAGGGGGTAGTATTCGGCGAATCCCTTTAAATTTAGGATATAGACCCTCTGAATAAAGGTCCCTGTTTAAGAGAGCCAGAAGGGTTCAGAAGGGTTCCCTTTTAAGGGTGCCCCTTATCCTACCTATGAGGGGGGTCCACTCGACAGTCCTCAAAGCTGTTGCCGTGGAGCTCCGCCAGGCATTCGGGTGGCAGCCCAGCCTCCCCAAGGCTCCGGGCCGTGGAGCTTGCTGAGCCCTAAACCCGAAACCCTAAACCCTGTAAGAACCCTAAACCCCGTAAGAACCCTAGAAGCTGGGTGTAGGGTTTAGGGTTTAGGGTTTCAGCGTTCAAGGGTTCAGGGTTTAGGGTTCCCCTCGAGGAGAGACGGGAGGCGACAGATGCAGCCCCGTGCGCCTTCTTGTGCAAGCCGTCCACGTTGGTCGAGGCAACAAAAGTCACACGACCTGCTGCCAGTAGCCGAGCGATTCCACGATGAGCTTCGGTTGGCTGCAGGCCTCTTCAAAAGGGGGGGCCTATATGCGTATCTAAGCTCTTGCTTGCCGAAGAAGCAGCCCCCCCAAAAAATGAACGATCATGATCCTTATATTACCCTTACAAGGAAGAATATTTTTTGGGGTTTCTTAAGCAAATAGTAGTAAGGGGCTTCGGGGTAGAGGATTTAGGGGCTCTAGGATGCCTCGATGGTGAGCTTGGCTTGAACTAAGCGCTGGACTGAAACGGACGAGTTTCTCTTGGGAGCTGGTCATGCACCTTGCTGAGCCATCGCTACTCGATCCTTCGACTGCTCTTCCTTCTGACCCATTGGGCATAGTTGATCAGCTTTCTGTGAGTTTTTGTCTTCAACTCTGTGATTTTTGCTTTGCTCTTTCTGTGGAAATCTAACTGTAAACTCCGACTACAGACTGTGACAACTCTTCGTGTCCAGAGGAGCGTTTATGAGCGAAGGCAACTTTCTTGTAGAAGACGAGGGCCCTTAGGCGTAGCCCCAAAGGTCAGGTGTCCCTCCATATGTACTTGGGCTTCAAAGTCACTCGGAAGCACTTTGAAACCCTAAACCCTAAACCCTAAACCCTAAACCCTAAACCCTAATACATGAACCCTTAGGGCTTAGGCTTCGGTTCGGCAAGGTACAGAAGAGCAAAGACCAGGGATGCCCTGAAATGCAAGGGTTTAGGGCTCAGGGTGTAGGGAAATTTGCATGGAACAGAACCTAAACCCAAAATCATTTGTGTATTTCCCAAAATAGGGGTACCCCTTTGTATATCCCGACTACAAGAGAATCCCCTTAAAGGGACCCCGAAAAAGGGTACCTCTAACTTCCAAACCTTCATCTGGAGCCTCCCGCGAATCCCTTTAAGAACTGTTCTCTAGAGCCGCCTCGGTCGAGATCGAGGTCCTTCACCTCCTCCCCTCGCAGTTTGCGGGTCCAGACACCCTGGGGGCCTGAGCTCGAGGTTTTTAGGGTTTAGGGCTTAGGGTTGGGGGTTAGGGTTTAGGGTTCAGGGGTTAGGGCTTACGGATGAGCCCTTCTCACTGCACTAAGCTTCAACAAGCGTTTCATTGTTCAGAGTTTCGGGTTTAGCGATGAGCTCTTCTCACTGTGCCAAGCTTCAACAAGCATTTCATTTTTCGAAGCCTCGGGCAAGCCTCCTAAGCCCTAAGCTCTCAGCCTCCATTTGTTCCGAAATCACCCCAACAACTGGAGCTCGAATCGAATGCAGCGCAGTCTCCGCGGTAGTCGGGCAGGCCGGCAGCTGTGCTAATGCCTGAGTCGAGCATTTGGGGTTTGTTGCCTATCAAGCCAATGCTCCGTGTGGAGACTTACGGACGTTGCTGGAAGTGACCTGGGGGCAACAGCCTTTCTGGATGAGCCACCCCTTCATGCCGCCCAACGGGAGGGGGGGGGGGCAAATCTAACTTATGGGCCCTCTATGGCCCCCAGATTATAAGTATAAGGGGTCGAGGGCTTAGGCGTATACATGAAGAAGCGACCGCTAGATGGGCCCTCTAACCCCTCCGACAAGATATTCCTAATCATAATCCCCTTCAACCCAGCAACGGGAAACTTAAGATATCCCAACGGGCCTACCCAGACCATGAGCTTCTGTAGCTCAATCTAAGCCCTAAACTTGGGATGTTCCCCCTCATCTTGACAGTCCTGAAATAGGGATTGTAATAAATTCGGGGTACTGTCATCCCTAAGAAGGACTGTTAGTATAAGGGGAACATCCCAACCCCTAAGCCCCCGAACCCCAAAAAACCCCTTTGAGCCGCGCCGCCCGCGCCCGTAAAGATCACGGCGTTGTGAGCCTTGCCTGAGTCTGGGGGTTCAGGGTTTAGGCTTTAGGCTTTGGGGAGTCAAACAAGACCTTATCAACTGAGCTCCTGTGAGGGCCTATTTGGGGTGGGGGAAGTGGTGGTTGCTCACCCGAAGCCACAAACCCTAAACCCTCACCCCAAACCCTCACCGCTAACCCTTAACCCTAAACCCTAAACCCTCACACCCTAAACCCTGAAACCCTTAAAGTCTTGGGGATGCCCCCCCCCCCCCCCCCCCCCCCCCCAGCCGGGGTGCGCCACAGGTCAACCAGCTGCCGCAGCTTCTCCTGGAGCCGCTCCCCGTCCTGAAGGGGGGGCGCTTTTGGGGGCTTTTGGGGGGCTTCATGCGGTTTAGGGTTTAGGGATTGGGGTTTAGGGTTTAGGGTTTAGGGTTGGTTTAGGGTTTAGGGTTTAGGTATAGAAGTTACTCTAATTCTCTATCAATTCTCTACTTCTCTAATGTTCGAAGAATGAATACAAGAAACAAAAACAAGAAACGAGGGGGGTGGAATTTAGACAAATTCTCTACTTCTCTACTCATTCTATCCCAGCAGACCGACAGTGTAGGACCATAGGGCAATCTGAGCAAATGGGGGGGGCGGCCCCCCCCCCCCCCAACCCCCCCGCTTTTTGATTACGTCAGAAAGGTGTTTGTTGTCATTTTTGGATTATACTCTAATTCTCTATGAATTCTCTGCTTCTCTAATTTTCGAGGAATGAAGACAAGAAAAAAAGAAACGGGGGGGGGCTGGAATTTACACTAATGCTCTACTTCTCTACTCATTCTATTTCAGCAGACCGACAGTGTAGGACTATACGGCAATCTGAGCAAATGGGGGGGGCTGCGCCCCCCCCAACCCCCCCGCTTTTTGATCGACGACGACGACGACCACTACTACTACTACTACTACTACTACTACTACTACTACTACTACTACTACTACTACTACTACTACTACTACTACTACTACTACTACTACTGCTACTGCTACTACTACTACTACTGCTACTGCTACTACTACTACTACTACTACTACTACTACTACTACTACTACTACTACGACGACGACGACAACTACTCCGACGAGTACTCGTACCACAACAACCACTACTACTACTACTACTACCACGACTACTACCCACTACTACTACGGCTACTATAAGTAGGGGTAGGCCTGGTAGGCCTACCCCTACCCTGCAGGTAGGCCTAGATTAGGCCTTGCCTAGGTGTGGGGGTAGGGCAACCCCCTAGGCCTCACCCAGGGTAGGGGTAGGCCTAGGGTAGCCCTACCCCCACCCTAGGGGTAGGCCTAGGGTAGCCCGACCCCTAGGCCTACCCGTAGGGTGGGGGTAGGGATACCCTAGGCCTATCCCTACCCTGGGGGTAGGCCTAGGGGCAGACGGGGTCACATCAAGGCCAGGCCTACCCTAGGCCCTTCCGTAGGGTAGGGGTAGGCCTATCCTAGGCCTACCCCTATTCTGATGAAGGGCCTAGCCCAGGCCTACCCCTAGGTCGCGTAGAGCCTAGAGGCGGGACTTCTTTATGAGGGTTTAGGGTCTAGGGTCTAGGGTTTAGGGTTTTTGGGGCTTCATGGCTTTTGGGGATTTAGGGTTTTGGGTTTTAGGGTTGGGGTTCGAGTGCCCCTTGTCAAACCCAGACCCCAGCTCTCACAACGAAGCACGGGAAGAAGAACGGCCCTGGACCCGAAGCTGTAAACCCGAAGCCCTCGGTCCCCAAACCACGAACCTACTAACGCCTTAAGAACCGCCCGCCCGCCCCCCCCCCCCCCCCCCCAAAAAAAAAAAAAAAAATATAAAAAAAAGCGCACACACACACACACACACAGAATTCTTCCTCATAAGGGTACTAGAGGGAGTACTGTCTTTCATCTTCTGGGGGTTCTTAAGCAACTTCATAGGGATTATTGTCTTTCCTCTTTCTTGGAACCCGGCCCTGAACCCAATGAGGCCGATCCACGTCGCGCAGTTCGGAGGCGAAGTCCTCGGAGGGCTTCTGCTGCCTGAGGTTCTGCTGCATGTAGCTCTGGAACCTGCAACAAAGGGGTTTAGGGTTTAGGGTATGAGGCTCTGGAACCTGCAACGCCCAAAGTAAGAGCTTAGAAAAGAAAAGGGTTTAGGGTTTGGGGTTTGGGGTTTGGGGTTAGGGGTTTGGGGTTTGGGCGTGTAAGGCGGTTTTGAAGGGGACCTTACCCTGCTTGGAGTTTTAACCACGGGCTTGCAGAAGCCTGCTGGTACAAGCATGCGACTGTGTGGAGATCGGGAACAAACAACAAAAACAGGGGAGGAGGAGATGTAGAGAGGGGGAGGAAGGATTTCTAGACACCAGCACACTACAGTTCAGGCTTCTCAAGCTTGTCGAAGGATGCCGAGCGTGTCCTCCGGGGAGTTCTGACGGGAGGGCCGAACTAAAATAGGGGCCTTGAGAATTAGAGTAGGGTTTTGGGGGGTCATTCTAGTAAAACTATCAAGGCATAGGGGATTACTATTAGCAATTCTTCCGACCCCTATAGTATGCTCTCCAGGCTGTTTTCAGTAGCTTGGGAAACCCTAAGCCCGAGAGCTCTCCTTCGACCGGACAAGCGGCTCACGCTCATACTCGTTGAACTCATTCGATTTCCAGGTCGTGTCCGTCTGCGACTGCTCCTGTCAAGGCCCACTGCTGCCGTGAGCGACTGAAACTGGAAGATGTAGGACAAATGTAGGGTTTGGGGTCCCTAAGGTCGTAAACGTTCAGCAGACATGGGGCCACCCTCCGGGAATATAGGGGCCATATTCGGAGGGTAATATATTCGGAGTCTTTTAAGGGAACCCTCCAGGGGTACAACCTTAGGGGTACGAGCCTGGTTCCCTTGAAATTCCTAGACTCCTAGACTGCAGCAGCAGGACGTAACCTCAGTACAACCTGAGCTACCCCTATAGACCCCCTGAAAACCTAAAGCCCATATATCCGAGAGGGTCCTTGGACAGCAACTGAGAGAGCCCGCGCCACGTTCCAGTGAGACAGTTCATGGCCGGAGGTTTGGGGAGAAAGGGCTTAAGGCCCTCAAGAGGGCTAAGAGGGATTAGGGTGTAGGGATCCTTAGGGATGCTTAGTCTTAGGGTGTAGGGATTTAGGATCCAAAGATTCGGTTTTGGGTTCAGGGTTTAGGGATTGCAGTTCCGGGGTGGTTCGAGCCCAGGGAACTTAGCAAAGGCATTCAAGCAAACTTGCGGGCTTGTGTCTAGGGCGGTGTGAGAGTTTTGACGTCAAAGGCTAAACTCAAGTGTGCAGAGAGGGCTCCTGTCGCATAAATGCTGCACACAGAGTCGGTCCCTGAAGCTCATGCGAGATGGCGCCTCACATGCTGAACCCTAAACCCTAAACCCTAAACCCGAAACCCTAAACCCTAAGCCCTAAACCCTAAACCCAAAACCCTAAACCCCTCAACCGCAAATCCTCAAGACCTCCTGAGCCAGCACGCTCGCCCGAGCCCCTCGCTTGCTGCACCGGAGGCACGAGGGTGGAAGCCCGTGCCTGACAAGAGTACTATAGGAGCCTTAATAATTAGAACAAAGTTTTGGGGGGTATTACAGTATAAGTATAAAGGGGCCATAAGGGAACATTGCTAGTAATTATTCCGACCTCTATACTAGATGTGAGGCTAAGAGTTCTTGTGCAAGATGCGGGGCAGTAATTCTTGCCATGCGGCTCATGCGGCTGAATGCAAAGTACGTTCTGGTTTGAGCTTGCATCTCTGGCTGCAAGTTTAAGCCCTGGTGCTTCCTTCCAAGTGTCAAACATGAACATGGACATGAAGGCCAAGCCTTCCCCAAGTCGCCTCAACGTCTGTGTTCCATGATGTGTTGCGGCCCTAAACCCCAAACCCTAAAACCCTGAACCCCAAACTCTCATCCCTGAACCCCAAAGCCTAAACTCTAAAACCCAACCCTAAACCCCGAACCCCGAACCCCAAACTCCGAGCTCCTGGCATGTGTTTCATGAAAACGAACATCCCAAACTCTAAGCCGCAAACCCTAAACCCAAAACCCCGAACCCCAAAACCTAACCCCCTAAACCCTAAACCCTACACCCCAAACCCCAAACCCTAAACTAACCTCTGGGTCTCCTGGCCATCCCTCCTCCCGCAAGAACCAGAGTCGAATGCTCGCCTCTGCCGGGAATGAAGGCTTCCAGGGTTCGTGGCTTCAAGGGGCTTCGGGTTTGAGGGTTGTGAATTTCAAGGTCTGAAGAGACATAAGGTCTGACCATGATCTGATTTTTCTGGGGTGCTGAGTCTATATGTATATGGAGGGCTAAGGCAACCTGAGCCAAGCTCAGGGAGAAAGCAGGAAGTAAGTCCCTCTGCCCCTCACACAGAGCCCTGGGAGGATCCACAAAGTAGAGCCCCCAAATAGTACCCTATGCTATCCTTCTTTGGGGCCCTTGAAAGGATCTACTTTTTGGATCCTCCCATCTGGGCAAGAAACGTTCCGCCGGATCCCTCCTCTTGCGTAGAAACGTTCCTTCATCTTCAATTGTAACTACTGGGCAGCAGGGGGCCCCACTTTCAACAACCAGGGCGGCTGGGGGGCGCCCCCCTCGCGTCTCTCCCTACATAGACTCGCCCTTGAAAGCAATTTGGCTTTCTTAAACCTTCTGAAAAGTAGCAGAAGCACGGCCCTCCTTTTTGGGGTGGCATATGAAACATGAAACCTGGAAGACATCCCCATAAGGGTGGTAGTGACATCACCAGGCTAGGCCGCTTGCGGCACTCTGTGTAGTAGTCGATCCTCCGTGAATCCCTGGGGACAACCCACCTGGGCGAGGCAGGCGGTGAGGGTTTATTCGGGTATATCTATGACGTGTCCTGAAGCGTTTCATGTACAAATGTCGACAGGAGCACGTGGCTTTAGATCGAGGGTTAGATTCATGTCCGCGACTAAAGGCCACCAGGCTGCAAAATGTGTGTGAGGAGGCGCAGAGGACAACAAGTGATAAGAGAGGTTTCAAGCGTTCAACGTTCCAGAGGGATGCCGAATGGTTGGATTTCACGGCCACGGCCGAGGGGGAGGCTTCAATCAAGTTTGCACAAGAAGCTACCTTCGCTTCAGTATGTGCATGGCACACGTGGGAGCAGTAGGCAGCCAACATGTAACGCGAATGCCCTACGTATAGAGTGCATGCAGAACGGTGGCTTTCATCACACTTAGGGGTGCATACAGAGGTCTCCAAGTATATCCCATGGAGTCGTGGAAGTAGTACTTGCAAGCTGTACAGCAAGAGCTAGACAGCGTGAGCAGCGTTAAGAAGTCGTGAATATCAGCGTGTTCCAACAAAATCATCCGGTGAATGTAGTGCCCGCCGCACTGAATGGTCTTAAGGGTGGCTTCTTCTTTGACAAACACATGAGAGGCTGACAAAACCGCGTTTGTCGAACGTTGTGCACCATGCTTTGTTGGCCACTATCAATTTTCGAGGATTAGCCCCGCGACAAATGGAGGTCTCTTTGATGATCGGGGTATCGCTTCAACGCCAAGAAGAGATTGGACCTGCATTAGTTTTGTCCGATGCTATATATGCACATATATACACATACAATTAAATAATTAGACAAATAAATATACAAATATATATATATACACATAGATGAAGGATCCTACAATCCTTTCAGGACTTCTCAGAGTGGGAACCTTGGGGGCTGTTCGGGAGACACGCCGAGTGTCGCGCGCGACGCGCTTGGCCAGATCCAGATCTTCCACGAAGTAGGAGGTCTGGTTTCAAGGCTTCAGGGTTTTTAGGGTTTTAGGGTTAGGGCTTACGGTTTAGGAGGTCTGGTTTCAGGGCTTTAGGGTCTTGGATGGCCCTGAAAGCCTTCTGAAAAATATTCCTAAATCTAGTCCGCTCAAACCCAAAAGGGAAATCATATAATGTCCCAAGGGCCTACCGAGGGTCTAGGGCTTAGGGTTTAGGAGGTCTGAAGTCGGACTTTTTGGCTTTTGGGGGGTTGTAGGGTCTTGCGGTTTCCGGTGTTCGGGTTTCACGGCTTAGCATTTTTCTTCTGGGCTTTGTAAGGTCTAGGTTAACTAGAGCTTTAGGGTCTTTTGGGGCTTGAGGGTTTCAGGCTCATGGGGGTGAGGGTTTACGTTGTTGTTTTGGGTTTAAGGTTTAGGGTTTGGGTTTAAGGTTTAGGGTTCAAGTTTAGGTTTTCGGTTTTAGGTGGGGCGGGTAGGTTTCAGGAGCTGTTGAAGGTGCCGAACTACGGCTGCCTCTTTAACCCTAAAGCTAACCTCCAGCGCAAACTCTGACGCCCGACAACGCAAAAGCAGCTGAAACAAACAAAAAGCCAAAAAAAAAAGCAGCTGAAACAAACAAAAAGCCAAAAAAAAAAAACTACCCAGAACCTAAAGCCCCTTAAGCGGAACCCTCAACCCTCAACCCCAAATTCCCCCCACTCCCCCCCCCCACCCCCAACAAAAACAAGAACCCTCGAGCCCTAGAGGCCCCCATGAGGCCCGTCGTGTCCTGTTGGTTGAGGTAAATCGCGCCAGGATGGAGTCGCATGTAGGCCAGCTTCTGATCAAGCCTCGAGTCTGCGGGTTTTGGGGGCCTAAGCTCCCTGAATTCCTCTGGAAGAACCCCGTGCACATCCTTCTGAGAAAAGAAAACTCTGCTATACTGGGGTCTATATATATATATATACCTATAAATATCTTATTTATATTTATACTGATATTCATATTTATATGTATGCTTATATACATATTTATTTAGATATATATATATATATGTATATATACAGCATTATCTTATGCTCTCCGAGATGCGGATGTACCAGAATCAGAGTAACACGATGTTGCATCTTACAGTATCATGCGCTGTGGCTATATTCCACTCGCACCCAGAAGGCCCGGAAGCCCGAACGCTGCTTCTTTGCCTAGGGGCTGCTGGGACCTTTCAAGGGCCTTCACAGTTTAGGGGTTTAGGGTCCAAGGGTGTAGAAGGATCAAACGCCCCGGACGCAGGCAGCTCCTCTACCCTGCCCTTGGGCACCCCATGAATTCGTCCAAGACTTACTTACTTACTTACTTTCTTTCTTTCTTACTTGGGGTAGCTAAGCTCGTAACCGTCTGGTTTATTCTGGCTTGTGGGGTTCCGTTGGCCGCAAACAGAGGCTTGGTGTCTGGCGTCTCCAGGGGGCCGGCGTTTCCGCGCACGATGACCTTAAAGGCTCACGATCTCACCTGCATGTTTCCTCCCCCGCCAAGCCCGAACTGTGAATTAGTCTACCGAAAGATTGATCTGCGCCATAACGGAATAATACAAGGCTGGGAGGGGATGTGTCGAGTTCACCTGAAAATGCAATTCATTCTGATTGCAAAGCTTCACTAAACATCGCTGCCGTGAAGCCTGAACCCTAAACCCTAAGCCCTAAATCCCCAATCCCCTAAGCCCTCAAAGCCACCGGCCTGAAACTGCACGGGGTCAATGTCGCGGAGGCTCACCTCCTCCTTGGGGGGCTTTCGATTCTTGCCTGGCCAAGAAGATGGCCTACACACGGGGCGTCGGCTAGGGTTTAGGGTTTAGGGTTTACGGTTTCGGGTTTGGGCTTTGGGGTTTGGGCTTTGGGGTTTGGGCTTTGGGCTTTGGGGTTTGGGGTTTGGGCTTTGGGGTTTGGGCTTTGGGGTTTGGGCTTTGGGGTATTAGGGTTTAGGGTGGCCTACACACTGGTTGGGCTGCTTCGGGATCCCTTTCAAGGTTTAGGGTTTAGGGCTTAGTACTCCGGAGTTAAGCCTAAGACCGGCACTTTGCAGGGAGTTTGCTGGTTCCCCTGAGAGCCCTATTTGGGGAAGTCTGAGCCCTTACCTCACCTCCCTTACAACCCCTATATCCCCATGACAAACCCTTGAACCCTGAACCGTTGAGGGTCACCCTTCTCCAAGTGTGGCTCCAAACTAAGTCCTTTTAAGCATCTCATTCTTACAACTACCTAACCCCCTAACCCCCTAACCCCCTAACCCCCTAACCCCCTAAACCCTAAACCCTAAACCCTAAACCCTAAACCCTAAACCCTAAACCCTAAACCCTAAACCCTAACGAATGAGTCTTAGAGGCCCATCCGCTCGCCTTGAGTAATTCGCAGGATGTTGCCAGCCTGGCTGGAGGAGTCTGGGTAGTTCTCTGAATTGGCTCCCTTTTGGGGTCCTTGTGTTAAAGGTCCCGTGCGATCTAGGGGACTCCAAAAAGGGGAGCCAATTTAGAGAACCGACCCATGTGCGCGCAGGCAACCTGAGCCCCTCTGCAAACCCCTTCCCTCCCCTCCCCTCGTCTCCGCGCTCCCTCTTTCCCATGGATTTAGGGTTTGGGATTTAGGTTTAGCACTAGGGTTTAGGGTGAAGTGTTTTAGGGTTTAGGGTTTAGCATTAGGGTTCGGGGGTTGCGGTTTAGGGAGGATGCTGATGGAGAAACTACATTTCCAAACTCCAAGCGCCCTTCGGGTGTATGCATGCGCTCCAAACATCACCGCTGACTTGCCTGACGGAACGCACAAGCCTTCTTCAACGGCGCATACAACCATTCGGAAAGTAGACTTTGGAAGGACATCTTGAAATTGAACCGTTCGCGAAACGCAAAGAACTACATCGCTCCCACAGTAAATACAAGAGGTTTCCGAGACCTGGCTCTTGTTTACTTGGGAGGGTTAGGGTTTAGGGTTTAAGGTTTAGGGCTGAGGGTTTGGTTTAAGGTTTAGGGTTAAGGGTTTGGGGTTTGGGGTTTAGGGGAGAAACCTCTGAAGCCAGGTCTTCCTGAGAACCAGGCGAACCGCAGTTTCCAGGAAGCCCGAAAACCAAGGAGCTTCGCGACTGATCGGCCCTAAATACTCTCTTGACGACTTGCTAGCTCCTGTTTTCGTGAAGCCTTTCCAAAACCTCAACCCCCAACCCCTAAACCCCAAACCCTGAACCCTAAACCCTAAACCCTAAACCCGAAACCCTAAACCCTTCCGACCCTAACTTTCTGAAAGATCCCCGAATCCAAGCGCTGTTGTAGAGCGGTGGGTGCACTCCTTTCAAACCCTGAGCTGCTGCCTCCTACACCCTGCACAGTGCATCCCTGCACATCGAAGGTTAGGGTTCAGGGTTCGGGTTTAGGGTTTAGGGTTTAGGGTTTAGGGTTTAGGGTTTGGGGTTTAGGGTTACTCCAAATATCTTTGGGAACCCAACCCAAGTATTGAAGAGCCTACTGCCCACCGAATCTCAAGGGGGGTTGCCTCGCCCACCGAACCGGACTTCATGGGCTGAGCGACCACGCGACCTCGGGCTCAGAAGGCTGCGAGAAGGGCTGAGAGGGCCCTTTTGCGGTTTCGGGCTTTGGGTAGTTTAGGGGTGTAAGGGTTTAGGGGTTTTCGGGCGTTGAGGGTTTACGGGTTTAAGGGTTTGGCGGCTTAGGGCGTTGAGGGTTTAGTGCTTAGTCCATGGACGCTTCCAGTGAGGAGGCATCTCACTCAGTCTGTCACCCTTACATGCGTCTACGCAGCGGGGTGTCGAGAGAAAATGTGTATGTGTAAGTATGCTTGCAGAACGTCTTGTCTGCAAATCTCCGAATCTTCGAGCGAAAGAGTTCTGCTCTGTGCAAGGCCCAGAATGTCGCGTTCCGATATCCCATCACAGTCTATGTGGTGTCGGATCGATCAAGGAATTCGGTTTAGAGGAATTTTGCCTGCGATCGCCTGCTCCCACACCACAGATGTAGCTCTGTCATAAACTTCAATGACAACACAGAGGCCGTTTCACCCAGCACATCGATTCGCAGAACAGGAGCTTTGACCCACAAGGAGTGCAGGTTCTACTAACTCGAAGAACCCTAACCCGTGCGCTTCCGAACTCGAAGAGGCTCCAGAAGCAAATTTCTGTTTCTGTCTACGCATCCAGCCTGACTTGCGCCCGGCAGCGACTGAGATTCACACCTTCACGGATCAGCCTGGGCGAACCGAGAAGCAAAGGCAAACTGAACAATCGGCAGCCCTAAGCCCTAAACCCTGTCGTACACGGCCAAAAGAAACAACGACGAATCCAGGCTATGGCAGACACCTAGCCAGGTGGGGTTCCCTTTCTGGGGTGCTGCTTCTTGTTGTTGTCATTTTTTTACCTTGCTATGCTAACCATGTTTGAATTCAGGCGCCCGATAAGGGAACTACCATTCCGCGTCTAGGTGTACTCAAAGAGCAGATGGCCCCAGGGTGGGGCTGGCGATTTTTCTTCAACACGGACAGCTGCTTCAACTGGGTCTTCTGCAGGACCCTGGGGCTTCAAAGAGTGATAACCCCTCAAAATCCCAATAACAAAGCACCTAAACCCTAAACCGTAAACCCTAACCCTACACCCTGACCTTAAACCCCATGCAAACTGGCGCTGCTCCTATTTGCGGGGGGGCGTGGTGAGCCCCAGACTCATCGAGCGGGGCGGCGACGCCTTCGCCGAACCACCTGCGGAAGACACAGGAGGTGTTGCGCTCTTCGCGGTTGGGAGGGTTTTGGGTGAGGGTTTTCGGCCAGGCGAATGAAGAGGGCAGATGTGAGGGACAAACCTAACAACAAGTGCCAGCTTAAACACACAAATTCTCACCCTCTCCCACCTCTCCCTCCCCCCTCCGCCTGCCAAAACCATATCTAAACCCTAAACCCCAAACCCCACCCAAGTGGCTAGTTGCAAACCCTGCGGCTCTTTTTTGTAACCGCTGCGCAAGCGGAGGTCCTCAACAACCTGAGCCGCCTGCGATCTTCAGACCTCGGTGGGCTTAGGGTTCAGGGTTCAGGGTTTTTTGGGTTCAGGGTTCAGGGTTTAGGGTTTAGGGTTCAGGGTTTAGGGTTTAGGGTCAGTGTCAGCCACCAAGGATGCAGAGGGCTTCTTTGGGCTTTAAGAGCTTTGGGGTTTAGAGTTGTGAGTGTAGGGTTTAGGGTTGAGAGTGTTGGATTTAGGGTTGAGAGTTTAGGATTTACGGTTCCCTAACAAACCCTCAACTTCCGATTGTGGCTTCCCGCAAGTCCCCCCCTCGGGGCCAGGCAATTCGTCTCGGGGAACGCGCTGAGGAGCGACACCACGATCGAGAAAAGGAGGACTCCACCTTTTGGAGGCAGATCTTTGGGGTCGTAGAGACTCGAAGCGGGTTGGGGTTTTCAGGGTTTAGGGTTTAGGGTTTAGGGCTTACTGTAGGGCTGAGGGTTTGGGGTTTGGGGTTTTGGAGCTTGTGAGGCCCTTGACTGAGGAACAACATCTCATCTGCTAAGCCCAGTATGCTTGGACTTTCATGGTACTTAAGTAAGACTGGGGCTGTAAACGTAACCCAAACAAGTTCTAGAATTGCTAAACATATAGCCCACTTGTAAGTACCCATGATCCTCCAAGTATACGTTTAGGGCGGAGGGCCAGCCTCCCAGAATCACGTTCACGGAGCCCACAAAGGGCCGCCTCCAAACGGAATCCTGCCAGTCAAGGGTTTAGGGTGAGGGTTTAGGGTTTGAGGTTTAGCCTAATTGCACCCTAAACCTTAAACCCTAAACCCTGAACTGGAGAGGCCCCCTCCGCCCGCCCATCGCCGCCCTGCACAGAATCCCCCGGAGCCCTGAAGCTGAACCGTCCGGCCTACTATTGATAGACATAAGCCACCATCGGCGCAACCACAAGCCACGATCAAAGTCAGAATCAGAATCAGCCGTAATCGCAAGCAATCGTAGCCCTAAACCCTAAACCCTAAACCCTAAACCCTAAACCCTAAACCCTAAACCCTAAACCCTAAACCCTAAACCCTAAACCCTAAACCCTAAACCCTAAACCCTAAACTAAACCCTAAACCCTAAACCCTAAACCCTAAACCCTAAACCCTAAACCCTGAAGCCGATCCAAGTGCTCAAGTCGGTTGGGTCCTCAGCCCACTCCTTGCATTGCTCCTTCTGCTTTGGAAGGAACCTTTCCAAGTGATCAAGAGCTTGCGGCTTCTCAACGCGCAGCCCGAGATGCAGGTGATAGCAGGTGATACCGGGGGCTTCTGGGCTTCTGGGGGGGGCTCCAGAATGCCACAACCCTCAACCCGTGATATGAACCCCCCCCCCCCCCCAAAACCCTAAACCCTAAACCCCAAGATTCCCTCATTTTCCAAACCCCCCCCCCCCCCCGCCCCACCCTCCCACACATCAAAATGTAGGGGTCATGGTTTAGGGTTTAGGGTTTAGGGTTTAGGGTTTAGGGTGCCAGTTAGGGAAAAGTTGGCTCTTTGTGCACTCTTTCCGATCCGAGGGGCCAACAAAATATAAGGGCGCCCGCGAGGTTCACGGCCATCCTTACCGCTTGGGGTTCAGGGTTTAGGGTTTAGGGTTTGGGGTTTGGGGTTTAGAGTTTAGGGTTCAGGTTTTAGGGGTCTCTTCAGGTCTGTTTCTTTGGGTGGGTCCGCACCCCAGGTCATCCCCAGAATTTTCTCTGGACTGCCCAACCCCATAGCGAGCTCGCAAATTCCTTGCCTGCAGGGCAGGGATGTCCGAAGAAGAAAGAGTTCACCAAGTGCAAAAAATCTGGAAGCCCTAACCGCTAACAAAACCCACTAGCAACCCTAAACCCTAAACCCTAAACCCTAAACCCTAAACCCTAAACCCTAACCCTAAACCCTAACATTGCACCCGTGCAATCAATACTCCTGCAATGCAACCAGGGCTCGTGAAGTACGTCGCCCGGGCCATGTCGGCGTTAAACTCACTTTGGGGTGGGTTGGGATCTCGGGGCGTCGGGAAGTAAGCTTCGGCGATGCCGTTCAAATGGAAGATTGGAACAAACAAGTTCTGCAGGTTCGAATTCCTTGGCTCGTCAGGTGCATAGAGAACGGCATTTTCACGAATGAACACATGACAACTGCTTCGCAGGACTTGCGCGATGTCTTCTGAAGAGAGCCAATAGACAAGGTGATCCCGGCATTGTGGATGGACGTCAGGAACTCATACCTCAGTGGAACAAACACATAGGACTCTGACAGGTGGGTAGCTACTACCGGGTAGCTGCTGCCTGTATAAGCTTCTAGCAGCCTCTTAGAAAACCTTCATGAGGGACCGACTGAAACCATCTGAGAAAACCGAACTCTGTCAAGGGATGAGTTGGGGGGAGACTAGGCGGCGGGATGGTGAACAGAACGGCCAGGGGAGCCCAGGATCCTTGCCGCGAATGCCCTGCGAAAGCCCGGCGCGCAGCTCTCTCTGCACAAGATGTGAGGGCTCATGGGTCGTGATGATGAGTAGTATACACCTATATAATGGTAGTAATACTACACCTATATAGGTAGTAATGAGTAATTCCACACCTAATAAAGGTATCGCCATAGAGGTCCGACTTATCATGCTTGACCAAGAAATGTTAAGTTCTTGCGGAGGTGCACGGAGGCCTCATAGCCGGCGGGCGAGATTTCCACTACAGCCAGGCTGGACAACACCTGCAACTGGGGTAAGAAATAGGGGCCTTGATGATTAGAATAGGGTTTGAACAGTTTGGGGGGGGGGGGGGGTTATTGTAGTGTAAGTATATAGGGGCTCCAAGGGAATACTATTCGTAATTGTTGCGGCCCCTCCTGTATCAGGTTTCGGGGCCTTATGGAACTTTAGAGTTCTCTGAACTGCTGGGGCTTTATAGGAAACAGGATTTAGAGAACTTCAAACACAACCTCCACACCAATCCCCTGTGAAGCCTAGAGACATGACAGTTTAAGCTGGTGCTGTGGTGGATTCGTGGCCCAGAGATTCTCACTGAGCATGGAAGTCTTTTGTGAGGCCTTTGGGGTAGCTTCTGATTTCGCTTTGTTCTCTGCTCTTTTCTTAGCTTTGGTTTCTTTCGGAGTATTTCTCGAGCGAGCTCAGCGGCTCACCGTAATAAACCAAAAAAATGCTCTCGCGATTCCTTCCTTGTGTACATTAATTAGTCGTATATTTGCCCGCAAAGTCCCCATCGTTTTGTCGTTCAGACGAGCGACATCATACAAAAACCAAGTGAAAGGTTCTGCAGGGCGATTCACGCGGATTCATGGACAAGACTGACAGGTGGAATGGAATCCAGAGAAGGAGACCTTGAACGGCTTCCGAACTTCCAGCGTGGATGCGCCAAGTGGGCCTCAGGGCCTCATGCTGACCCTTGTGATCCTCGGAAAAAAACTCCCCCCCTCAATGTTTATAGGGTTTAGGGCAGGGCTTTTAGGGTTTCGGGTTTGGGCGTTAAACCCATTGCGGGAAAAGACTCATGTTGCAAAACATCCCCAAGGGCCTGTGCCCCAACTCGGGTTCTGCAATGGAGCGGACCCCAGCACCCAGGCACCTGTGCAATCCCCTGGATCACCATCAAGATGTTGCCTCGATCCAAAGGCGCAGCACACCCTCACACCTCCATAGGGTTTAGGGTTTAGGGTTTAGCGTTTAGGGCCAAACCCTAAACCCATACTTGTGGTTTGCGCTTCTCCCGCCAATCCCCTCAGCCCTCCAGTTAGCCCCATGAGTCCGGGGAAACCCGAAAACTTAGCCCCTCCTTGAATTCCAGAAATCCTCGCCCCGTTTCAACCTGCAAACCGTATACATCCTATCCCAGAAGCCGTCCCGATGAACCCTAAACCCTAAACCCTAAACCCTAAACCCTAAACCCTAAACCCTAAACCCTAAGCCCTAAGCCCTAAGCCCTAAGCCCTAAGCCCTAAGCCCTAAGCCCTAAGCCCTAAGCCCTAAGCCCTATAGCGCTTGGCTCGGAAACATGCCGAGACGAGCTGCTGCCGAACGCGTAGAACCAGCCATCTTGACCGATTCCCCATGCCTCAGCCAAGAGCTGGAACAGTGGAGCTGGGGGGTTTAGGGGTTTAGGGGTTTAGGGGTTTAGGGTTTAGGGTTTAGGGTGCAAGGACTAGCCAGCACTTCGAGATCTTTCTCGACGCCCTCAGTGTACAAGAAAGATAGCAGAATGGAAGTGCAAAAAAAAAAAAGACACCCTCATTGTAGATCAACCCACATTTGTACGGGTTGCCTCCTGACAAAGAGGTTTGAGGGCTTCAATGGCAATTTCGCGCGTCTTCAAGGACAAGCCTTCTGAGGGCTTGCAAACAGTGAGTTTAGGGTTCAGGTTGTGTGGTTTAGGGTTTAGGTCTGGTGCAACTTAAGGATTTGGGAGTGTGTCCTTTTGCCCAGATACTTCTACTAAGCTCATGTGGCAGCAGCCAAATGCTCGAGGCATATGCTGCCGTGTGGCGTTGTAGATGACCATCAGCTGAAAGCCATTGTTCAAGGCGAGTATCCTCAGTGTGCCCCAAAACAACAGTGCGATAGTGGTCATACAATATACGGCGAAACATTAACATGCTCAAAAGTGTGCGTGCGGCATGCGCTGAAGAAGTAAGGGCCTCATAGGGTTCAGGGTTTATGGTAGCTGTCGGTGGTCCAGGGGAGCTTGAAGAAGGGAGATCTCATGGGACAGAACCCATCACTCCTGCATCTTCAGCTGCAAGCTGATGCATGACTCCGAAGCCATAAAGACCCGTACTAGTACAAATAAAAGCAAGAGTTCAGAATGCGAAAATCCATCGTGACAGAAATGATGAGAAGAAGCAAGAATAAGGGTAACAAGAACAATGCAAACCTGTATGTGTACGGGTCTTGGGATTGCAGGTGCAACTAAGCCTCATGGCCGTCCACACAAATGTCATGCGCCAGTTACGCGTCATGAAATAGCGCCGGAAGAGGAAGACACCTGCCGAGAAGATCCGCTGAGGGTGCCCAGCAAGGTTGACTTTTCAGCAGTGCTGTGTTTTTTGTTTTGGGAGGGGAGGGAACGGAGGATTGCCTCCCAGTCATGTCATTCTTCCCACAAGAGAACCCAGCAACACACATGCGCAAAGTCGCTGCCGCCCTTTCGCTGCTCCCTCTCTGCCCTCGCAGCCTATCAGGAACATCGCGTTCCCGGCAAAGGTGCCGACCTCACTTCAAACTTTTCTGTTCCAGGCTTTGTCCTAGAACCCACGTCATGACAGCATCGCTCGAAAGATCTAGTTCTTGTCAAAATGAGGTCAAGTGGGGAGTGGTTTAGGGCTTAGGGTTCCTCAGCATTATTCGACCTCCCTCATCGGGCATTCGCTTCCCCTTCCGGCCGAGAGGCGTCTGGAACAAGCGGACTAAGAACGCTCTCCTTCCCCTTTCTCCCACCCACCACAAAACCCCCCCCCCCCCTGCCCCTAATAGGACAGCCTGAAGCTTCACGTGGCAACAAGCCATGAACACCCGACCCCAAGTTCGCTGAGCAACACACGAGCACAGACAACCAAGTGCACCGAAGCTTTTGCACAACCTGCTGAGGCTGCAAGGCTTTGCTGCTAATCGTCCAGGCGAAACGGCCCCCAAGCTCACTTCTGCTGCCGGCTCAAGGGTTTCGGGTTTGCGAGTCGGCTGCTGTCTGGCGTCTTGTTCCTCGATCTGCGCTCGCCTCATCTGCAGCCCGACCACGCGGACTGGAAACTCCGCGATGCGCAGCTTGGGTGTGGCTTGGGCCGGCCCGGCTGCCGAGGTGGCGCATGGAGACGTTTACAACTCTGTCTGATGATCCTCTAAAATCTAAGATCGCTGATCGGGCGGGTTGCCTGTACTCTTATTGGGAGGGAGTTGCATATGGATGCTCGGTTGGTCGCCCTGCTCTAGTCACATACTCACTGCAAAGTCTTTGCAATGAACCTGTTGCACCCCATGGAAGACTTGCTGATGCAAGCCTCTATGTGCAACTCTATCGGCATACACGCAAAAAAGTGAAAGTAGGGGGGCTTCAGACCGTCTCTGCATATGCACGACAACTGCGCCCTAAACCCTAAACCCTAATCCCGAAATAAGGGTCGGAGTTGCTCTTGCTCAACCTCGAAGCGAGGAAAGGATCCCGTGTCACCGCCCAAATGATCTGGACATAGACTGTAAAATATCTATACGTTGGTTCTATGGCGGTCTAGGGCCGACAGAAAGTGAGGTCCACATCAACCTCAGTTACCCACAGAGCCCAAGAATCCCACAATGAAGACATACACCTTAAAAAGTGCTTGGATGTATACTTCGTAATTGAGGGACGGGTATTGGGCCCTTAGGCGAAACGGGAAAAGGCTTTACGAGCATGACGTAGAGAAAGCTGGAGATTTGGGAAGGCGGCTTGTGCAGGTTCACCGTGACTCCTGTCTGAATACCAAGCAGGCAAATCCAAACCTGTGCTCTTTTTGGGTTTAGGGCTCAGGGTTGAGACTGAGTCCGGAACCGAATTCTGCAGCGTCGATGGCGCTGCAATAAATGCAATGATGTTCTGAGCCGGGTTGAGCATGCTGGCAATGGCCATGTTGCCTTAGGAAGGCGTGGAGTAGCGGGCTTGACCCACACCTTTCGCTGGATGGAGCGACTCCACCGATCAAGCTAGGTAGTAAGGCAGTAGTAAGGCAACCTTTTGCTGGGTATAGGCTTGGAAGCTACGCCAAAGCAGACACCGACGACGCAACTTGAAGATTCAAGCTGTCGCACCCGACTGGTCTACGAACCTTCAACCGGAGCCTCGAGGATCCGACGAAGAGTCTCGGGGCTTCAGGGCTCCCACAAGACCCTCGACCGTACCTTGAGACCCACGGTTTTTGTCGGTCACACTTATGGAGGCCCTTTTGGAGCTTGTAGGGAACTTACCAAAAATCGTAGGTGTTGGGTTTTTAGGCAAACCCTTGGCTTATCGGGTTGGCTTGCAGCTCTGAACGCCTCAAAGGCCCTTCAAGAACCTCGCAGGGGGCTGTGGCGAAGTCTCCGCCCTACGAAAACGGCCCCCAACGTGGCACCCTAAACCCTAAACCCTAAACCCTAGACCCTGAACCCTCAACCCCTAAACCCAAGATTAAAGCGCTGGTTTGCTCAGGGTCCAGTAACATCCTCAATAGGCTTTCGGGCCGTGGTAAAACTGGCAAGGGGCCCAGCGCAAAAACGATGAGGTAAAACATCACTTTTGTCTTCATGACCTGACCAGCTGGGGGGGCAGGGGGACTTTTGGCGAGGCGGCAAGCTATTCTTATGGGCTGTTTTTCAAGCTGTGGTCCCTTGTGGGGACCCCTTCAGAATATCAGGCTGAGAAAGCAGGCGCCAAGAAGGACCACGATTTCCAGAATGCCCGTATACACCCAGGGAGTACGAGGTTCCATGGGTGCTTGCAGGTAAGTACCCACAACAAGGTTCTGACAAGCTTTCGGAATACCAACCCTGCTTTGATGAGTTCCCATGAACCTGCAAGTATGGACCCCAAGGTATCTCCAGACCATCCCTGGAGCACCCAGAGTATGTTCAGAGAATTGGGGTTTAGGGTTTAGGGTTTTAGGGTTTTAGGGTTTTAGGGTTTTAGGGTTTTAGGGTTTTAGGGTTTAGGGTTTAGGGTTTAGGATTTAGGGTTTAGGCCCCAAGAGTGTCCCCTGGAGAATCCCTCGCGTCCCCGGGTAATGGGGCGCCCAACCTGAGATTGTTTTCAGAGAATCCCTGGAGTGCCCAGCCCTAAACCCTAAACCCTAAACCCTAAACCCTAAACCCTAAACCCTAAACCCTAAACCCTATCCCCTGGAGTGGTGCCCAGTGATGCCGGCGATGCAGAACCGACCGAGGGGCCCTCTGGCAGTCAGTCCAGTAACCGGAATCGGTTTAGGGTTTAGGGTTTAGGGTTTTGGGTTTAGGGTTTAGGGTTTAGGGTTTAGAGTTTAGGGTTTAGGGTTTAGGGTTTTGGGCTTAGACCCGAAACCCTGACTGTGCCAAGCCCCCGCTATCCCCCCGAGCCCAGCGCCAGGCCTTCCACATCTCTTTGAGAACGTCTTGTGGACTATGCATCAGAACTACTTGCTGCGGCGGATCCTGCACAAGAGCATGGGCTGGAGGTTTAGAAACCCCTGTTCGGGTCCGCTCAAGGGCGCTCTACCATGTTCTTGTTTTTTGTTCATTGTGTCTTTGCTTTGGGCGGGGGAGGGTGTTCCTATTCGTTGGAATCTAGCAGTTGTAACGTAGGTGGGCATAGAGGCGTGGGTAGAGGGTGGCATGGTTTGAGGTGCAAAGCTTCATGAGGGTTTGTGTGTCAAGTGGGTGCGGGCGCCCGCTCCTAAATGAGAACAATTGGGTGGAGGGGGATGTTGTGATCCTTTCGCAGTCTTACGAGACGTAGAGTACCCTAAGTCCAAGCTTGGTAGCCCAGAAACCATAATATTTTTGATTACAATGAGGGGCACCCTTGTTTTTCAGGCTTTCGGAAGCGTCATGCCCAAAGTTGACAGGGATGCTCTGCAACAGAAGTCGCTGGAAAAGTCATCCCCCTTAAAGCCAAACAAGCAACTCCACGACCACGTGAGAAGCGGACACAGCACAGAGCTCTTAATTCAACACGGGTCGGACACGATAGGGGTAGAAAACCACTACAAGCCCTGGCTCCCTCTTATGTCCCCATTGTGCCCTCCTTATACACCCCCCCCCCCCCCTTCTTATTCCTTATACCCCCGAAACCCTAAACCCTAAACCCTAAACCCTAAACCCTAAACCCTAAAACCCTAAAACCCCTTATACCCCCCCCCCCCCCCCCCCTGATGTCCTGTAGGAGGTAGACCATGAAGCCCCAGAAGGGCAGCGCCATGCAAACCAAGACCAGGTGGACCTCAGGGGCCGGCCGGGCATCGGAACCGCGCGCGTACGAGCATCCGAGTCCATCACGTCCGATAGGGTTTAGGGTTTAGGGTTTAGGGTTTAGGGTTTAGGGTTTAGGGTTTAGGGTTTAGGGTTTAGGGTTTAGGGTTTAGGGTTTAGGGTTTAGGGTTTAGGGTTTAGGGTTTAGGGTTTAGGGTTTAAACCCGCCCATTTTGGGTTCAGGGTTTAGGGTTTAGAGTCGCGGCCACAGCAGAATTCGGAGGCACATGGCTCTTTCTCCTGTTGCCCTCGGCCCTCGGGATGCCTCCCAAAACGAGAGCTCGAACGAGAAGATCGTGTCGTTGGAATCCTCAGCGCGCCCACCCCTGCATAAGACTTGGGATGTTCCCCCTTCTACTAACAGTCCTTAATAGGGATTCTAGTACCTCCGACTATAACGCCCATTAAGGACTGTTAGGACTGTTAGGAAGAGGGGAACCTCCCAACATAAGACGGTGGTGGCTGCGCAGCCCTTTTGTCGGAGGTCTCCCAAACATGCCAACCGGTACAGTACTTGATGAGGAACCGAGGGGTGTGTGAGGGCCCCAACTACGCCCTCTGTAAGAGAATGCCTTCATAGGGGAATATGACCCCCTGGCTCCTTATGAGTACTGGAGCACCAGCGACACGGTGTGTACCCAAAGCAAACACAAGGCGCCTTCAACCCTAGAAGGCATGCGTTGAGTTCAACCGGACTAGGGTTTGAGGGTTGAGGTTTAGCGTTGGGGGGTTTAGGGTTTAGGGCTTCGGCTTTTGTGTCCCCATCCGCCATGTCACCCTTAAACCCCTTCCATGCCCCGCCATGCTGATGTTCACGTGCCGCCCGGGCGACGCCCTCGCGGTGGGGAGGGTAGTAGTACTTGCCGTTCATGGCAAGGATGCCCAGCCTGGCAAAGGAAGCCAGTTTCTTTTCAGGGGGGACTTAAGACTTTAAGGAGGAGAATCGGAAAACAACCATTCTTACGAGCCGAAACCTACCAGGCCCGCTTCGCATGCCGCGAAGGCACACGTTCGTCAGCGTTGTCGTCGCAAAACGGACCATCCTAGGCTGGCGATGAGATGGGCGCACTATGTATACCGCCTTGAATAATGCGGGCTTAGATGTTTTAGGTTTCGAAGCCCTTGGGCTTTCCGCAATCACCATGAAGAAGACTTCCCGAAACACTCCAGCAGCTCTACTTGCTCCAAACTGCCCAAGACCCCTGTACCTTGTACCTGAAGATTATTATCCCGACCCTCTTGCGGACTCTCTGTGCTTGTTGAGCGAACCTGTAAGCTCGATGCAGACCTTAACCGGCCCTCCCCGCAAAACACCTTAAGCCCTTGAACCCCCCGGGCCCCTCGGGCCCCTAAACCCTTAAAAGAACCTAAACGCAAACGTCTCAAGCCGCCAAAAAACCACCTAAACGGCCTAAAGTCCTTAAGAGAAAAACCTAAAGGCCCTGAAGCCCCGCCGTTCAACTTCACCGAGCCCTCCACTGGAGAATTAACAACTGTGAACGCATGTGATGGTGCATGGCCCTTATGACTCCTAACTCTAGCACATATAAATACATATGTGTATGCTATGTATGTGTACATATCTACATTTGTATATGTTATACGTATAGACATATACCGAATTAGACAGGATTTAGGGGGTAGGGTTTAGGGTAACAGCATAACAGCCCAGGAGCTGGCCGGTGGTGAGGATGTAGCCCCGCGTCTCTGGCGGTTCCAGCTTGCTCCTTGGGTTTTCGGGGTCTTGGTTTCGGTTTGGGGTTTAGGGGGTTTGGGGTTTAGGGTTTAGGGCTTGGTGTTTAGGGTTTGGGGTTCACTAGAGTTTGGGGTCTAGGTTTGGGGTCTAGGGCTTGGGGTTTAGGATTTGGGGCTTCGGGTTTGGGATTTCAGCTCTTGGGATTTTGGATTTGGGTATTTGGGGTTTAGGGGTCTTCGGATGTACCCTCGAAAGCGCCCGACTAAGGTATCGGCCTTAAACCCTACACTGTTCTGCAAACACCATCCTTGACATTCCGGGGATCTTGAGGCATTTTGGATTTTCGTTTTGGGGTTCAGGGTTTAGGGTTTGGTAGATGGTTGTGGGCCTGGAAGAACTTGAGATTGTAACCCTACGTGAGTGGGGGGGGGGGTTGGCTCTCTGTGGCTTCGATTCTACATGACTCAGTTCAGTGTCAGAGTGCCTACCATAAAAGGGCTCAACATTCTGATTCCCCTCTGTCGGGTCGTGCGGGGTCGGCTGTGTGTTTGTAGGCCAGTCACGCCCAAAGAAGCGACCGTTGGAGCTAGACTCTCTTGAGGATAAACTTCAACTTGTTCATATATGGTATTTCCCAAATAGGGGTACCCCTATTAACCCGACAAGAATCTCCTTAAAGGGACCCCCAAAGGGCACCCCGATTTTCGGTCACCCCCAGAAGGCTCAGGGCCTGTGAAGTAACTTCAAGGGCTGCGCCTCGATCCAGTGTAGGCCGGGGGTCAGCTCGATAGTCATGCCGTCCCCGGCCACATCGGAGAAGATGTAGAAGAAGCACATGACCTCTTCATACTACCCCGAAGCCCTACACCTAAACCCTACAATATGGTTGAGGGTTTGAGGATCGTATCAGACCAAGGTGGGGGCCCCTTTCTTGAGTAAACCATGGAGCCTCTTACAACGAACCTTCCCGCATGTGAACCATGATGCTGACACCACTTATAAACTTATTTTTTTCCAGGGTCTAGACCCCGAGAAGCAGACTTGTGGTGAGGGGTGACTTTGTGTTTCTTTGCTTGAAGGGGTCTGCATCGAATCCCGCACCCGCCCATCTTTTTTGGGGGAATCCGTTCCCTTTACATCCAACCCTGAACCCTAAACCCTGAACCCTGAACCCTAAACCCTAAACCCTAAACCCTAAACCCTGAACCCTAAACCCTAAACCCTAAACCCTAAACCCCAAACCCTAACCTACGGTTCCGGACTTCTTTGGGCACTCGGAGCTTCACGTCCTTCCCTTTTTCAGAGACAACGCGTGCAACCGATCGTCCGGGCTAACTTTCTTCTCCCAGCTTGCATTTTCTTTGCTGGGCTCTTGTAAGATGCCCTTAAGGTGCTTCTTTTGGCAAAGCAGCCACGAGTAGCATCATGTAGACGGCGAAATTACCGTCGTCCGCCAGATTCTGCGCCAGGATCGACATGCAAGCCAAGATGATCCTCACGAGCGACATTACCAATGCATCCAATATAAGGGCCTTAGTAACCTCATAACCTCAATATGGTTCTGGGGGGGTTCTTATAGTACATTTATAAAAGGGACCCTATGGGAATATTATTCGTAATTATCCGACCCCGGAGGGTCAGGCAGGATGGGCAGGACCAACTTCATGGTTGGGTACAATGGTAAGGATGAGCTTTGCTGTTTTCCACAATAAACCCTACACCCTACACCCTAAACCCTAAACCCTAAACCCTAAACCCTAGCGCTTCTTCCCAGAAGTACCGCTGCTGCGAAGGCACAGTGAACTGGTCCAGCCGAAGATGATCCAACCGCGCCGCCTTCGGCCGTGGGCGTAGTGCACAACACAGAAGTCTGGATGGCTATCTAAACTTCCCGTTTACAAGCCTAAAGCTTAAAGCCCAAAGCCCAAAGCCCAAACCCAAGCAAAAAACGGAATACAAGCTACGCGAGATACCCCTTCTAACGAAGAGAGCCCCCCCCCCCCCCCCCCCCCCCCCTATTTGGTGGTTTAGGAAAATAGGAGACCCTAGAATAGACCCCCAAAACGGTAAGATGTCCTTTTCAATAAGGACCCCAATAGGGTACCCAACGGAATGGAAGCTCCCCAATTTACCCCTTCTAACCAAGATAGGCACCCCCCCCCCCCCCCCCCCCCCCCCCCCCCCCCCTTATTTTGCGGCTTGGATCTAAAGGTTTGTGGGCTCTCTTAGGGTTTAAGGTTTAGGGTTTAGGGTTTATGGTCTAGGGTGTAGGGTTTAAGGTTTAAGGCTTAGGGTTAAAGGTTCAGGGTTTAGGGTTTGGTGTCTAGGGCAGTCTAGGGTTTAGGGTTCAGGGTCATCGTGCCCTACATGCTTTCACTGTTCCAGGTGTAACTGCCAGCTGGCGAAGCACTGGGAGGGCTTGTTGCTTTCAGGGTTTTGGGGGGAGGTTTAGGATTTAGGGTGTAGGTTGTATAGCATATTCCTCGTAGTTACATGTTGCGAAGCATCCAGCAAGTCCCGCCCCTGTCGCCTTGTCCCGCAGAAACCCAGCTGGTCCAGCAGAAGGCCGTAGAAGATCTTGAAGTTCCACGGCATCTGCGTCAGCGATACCTGCAGCGTAGAACCGCTTCAGGTTTCTGGGGACCCAAGAATCCACAGCCTGGTGCCAAGTCAAGAGACCTTGTGGGCAATCCTACCATGCATAGCGGGGGTTTACGAAAGTAAGGGACCCTAATCATCGTCCCCCAAAAAGATTCTCCTATAAGAATGGCCCCAAAAAGGTACCCCTAATTTCGGACACCCTCATCTCCAGTTGGCAAGGACTTTTGAGTGCAGGCAAGCTGCCGAAATGTTGCATTGCCTTGGTGGCCATGGGACACTCTCAAGACTGGGGCTTTGGGGTTTAGAGGCTTAAGGGTTGATTGGGGTTTAGCTTGAACCCAAACTGGGAAAAGAACCCTTCTGACTCCACAGCGTCTCCCAAAAGAGCACCAAGGTCGCGAAGGGCTTGGGATGTTTTGGGATGTTTTGGGCTTGGGGAGGGTTGGGGTGTTTAGGGCTTAGGGCTTGAGGTTGAGGGTTCAGGGTCCCGAAGCCCGGAGACATTCTTGGCGTCGGGCGACGTGTTGAGAGTTCAGGGCTTCATGTGGCTTTCAGTGAACCAGTATAATGAAACCCTCGCGACTTGCAGAAATCCACATACCCCAAACCCATGACTTCAACCCGAAGCCTCAGACCCCAACTCCCCCCCCCCCCCCCCCCCCTAAGCCATTCACCCGTAACCCTCAACCGACCGTAAACTCTAAACCCGAAGCCTCAAACCCTAAACCCTAAACTCTAACCCCCAAACCCTAAACCCTAAACCCTAGCCCTAAACCCTAAACCCTTAACCCCAAGCCCTAAATCCGAATCAGCCTTGGTCTCATGTCCAAGAGTCTGCACCGAAGCACGGCCGGCGGCCCCAAGCGGGCCGAACACGTATTGGCAGATGGGGATGTTGATGTAGTTCCTCGGGTTTAGGGTTTAGGGTTTGGGGTTTAGGGTTTAGGGTTTAGGGTTCAGGGTTTAGGGGGCAGAACGGGATGTTGATGTAGTTCCTCGGGAGGGTTTAGGGTTTTAGGGTCTTTGATTCTTGGGTTTAGGGTTTAGGGTCTAGGGTTCCGGGTTGATGTAGTCCCTTGGAAGTTTTAGGGTTTCAAATGCTTCAGGATTTGGGGTTTCAGGGTTGATGTCTTCAGGGCGTCCTCGAGTCGATAAGCGGGGGCTCTAAGGTTCGGTTTAGGCCGTGTCCTTGGGGTTTAGGGTTTAGGGGTTTGGATTTAGGGTTCAGAGTCTTTGGGTTTAGAGTCTTAGGGTTTAGAGTTTTGGGGTTTCAGGTTAAGCCAACCTTAAACCCTGAACCATAAACCCCTAAAGTCCCAGGCGCTAAGCCCTCAACCCTAAACCTTCATCCTTCTCCAGCTCCGTGCAGACGGAACCCTTGCCTCTCCGCGCACATAAACACGGTGCCGCGGCGCGAGACGAAGCCGTAGATGAGGCCCACGATGGCATACCTATGAAGGGTTTAGGGTTTAGGGTTTAGGGTTTAGGGTTTAGGGTTTAGGGTTTAGGGTCTAGGGTCTAGGGCTTAGGGCTTCAGGGCTTTGGAGGCTTTGGGGCTCGGGGCTTCCTCTGGCTGGGGTCAAGGCATCTCGAGAAGTCCTTGGACATCTTTCAGGTGCCCTAAGCCCTGAAAACACAAAACAACTATGAGCCCCTAACCCCTAAACCCTAAACCCAAAACCCTGGACCCAAAACCCAAAACCCAAAACTCTAGACCCTAAACCCCAAAACACTAAGCCTTAAACCCTAAACCCGAAGGCCACGGCACATGCAGTAAAGCCCCCAGACGGCCGTCTTGTCCACGGCTCCTGTAATCGGGAGCGCTTGGCATGTCGGTGCTCCAGGCATTTGAGGGCTCTTTCTACGGGCCCCTGAAACCCTAAGACCCTAGAGCCCCGAGGAGTCCTGGCGCCGGGTCCAGGGACAGGCGCGCCGCTTCCAGGATGCTCTGCACCAAGCTCTGGCGCTGGCTACTGCGAGCACCTGCTCTCGGGTTGAGTCTCAGGAGTGAGGGCGCTTTAGGGTTTAGGGTTTGGGGTTTGGGGTATAGGGTTTGGGGTCTAGGGTTTAGGGTATAGGGTTTAAGGGTTGGGGGTTTAGGGGTTGGGGGTTTTAGGTTTAGGGGTTGGGGGTTTTAGGTTGGGATGTTCCCCCTTTTACTAACAGTCCTTTATAGGGATGATGGCACCCCCCCCGTCCTAGTGAACCCTATTTTGGGCTGTTAGTATAAAGGGGAGCATCCCAAGGGCTTAGGGTTCAGGGTTTGGTGGACCTTTGATGGACACGCGGGGGGTGCAGTCAAAATGTGAGCCCCTAGCTCAAGGACTCCAGACACATTGGTAATTCTCTAAAATACGGTCCTTTTTGGCATCTTGTATAGAGAGTACGGCACCCTTCTAATAAGGACACAAGAACAGGGAGAACTACCCACATGAGGAATGCACGCTGATGACGGCCCACACAATGTCCACGAGCAAAAAATCAGAGCCGGGCCACTCGAAAGAACGTTGAGTCGCTGTCCTTCCCAAGGTTGGCCCTTGAACCTCTCTGAAAGAATTTGAATAAAGTCTTAAACCCTAAACCCTAAACCCTAAACCCTAAACCCAGTTCCTAACCCTCAGGTAATAGTGAAACGCACTGAGAAGGCTGCAAGTCTTGGGTCCCTGCCCTACCGGATGGGAACCTAAACCCCTAAGCCCTAAACCTTAAACCCCAAACCCCAAACCCTAAACCCTAAACCCTAAACCCTAAACCCTAAACCCCAGAACCTGACTTCCCGGCACCTTGGCTCCCCTCCTCCGTTGACAGCAGCAGCGAGCCCGCGCGGTCCAAACGACCCAACGACATGGCGGCTGCGCTGCCGAAACGCTCTCGGAACTCTCTTCAAAACTGTGCAGAGGGTTTAGGGTTTAGGGTTTAGGCTTTAGGGTACATCAGCTGCTTCAGGCGAGCAGGAGAGCCTAACCAGGCAATCTCGGATGAGGTAATGTGAAAAAAACACCCCTCACATACCCGCCAAAATACTGCTATCCTTGGCATCCCTTCGGGAAAACCCATATTCAGGGGGCTGGATTTGGGTTAGATAGCAACTTTGGTCCCATAGAACTGCAAATTGCCTCCCAATCGACGCCAGTCCGAGCCTTTAGGCAGTGAGGCCGAGATTCGCTTTTATTATCCCCAACCCAAAACCCTACCTACACCCTAAACCCTGGACATCAACATCCAGATCTACAAGCCTAGGGCCTAGACCAGCAACCCCAAACCCCAAACCAAAAGCAAAAACCCAACCCCTGAGCCCCAAGAACTGTAACCGCACCGGCGCTACAGCTTTCGCTCGCCTTCAAGGACGGGTTTTGATGCCCTTCAGGGATTTCGGGTTAAACCCAAAACCCAAAACCCAAAACCCAAAACCCTTAACCTTCGGGTTTCGGGGGGGGGGGGGGGGGGGAGCCTGCGGGCATCGGCTTCCGACAAGGGCGACAGCTCCGCTGCGGCGCAGAGGACGTGGCCCTGGCATGGGAAAAGAGCATCTTTTCTGAGGGTCGTTTCATGGTCCCCTAGTACGGGCCCTTAGAAGGAGACCCCTTATATACCCCATATATATATATATATATATTAAAGGCCCATGAAGCTACCCTCAGCATCTTGTCGGGTGTGCTTTGTGAGTTTGGGCCGTACAAGCCCTAGCTACTAACTTTGCCTTCCTGAAGTACTACTATTTGCAACAGAACACCGCAAAAATAGGCCCCCCGCCATATTACCCTTACAAGCATATTACCCTTTTGAGGAAGAATATACATGTATATATATATATATATATGTGTATATGTATATATATATATATGTATATACACATGTTATTTTCATTGTGTTTTATTTGGGGGGGTCTTAAGCAAATAGTAGCGCAACAGATCATGTAGCAGAGACAACTTCCAGGTGGCACTTACCAGCGATGCCTCTGAGCTGTGACTGCCTAGGGTTTCAGCCCTGCGCCGAATAAGCAGGCTCCAGCTTTCTCTCGGCAACGGCTCTTCAAGCTTTATCTGTGCTGTGCTTTGCCTTGTAGGGTTTAGGGTCCGGGGTTGAGGGTTTAGGTGTTAGTTTCGAAGTTGGGGGAAGTACCTTCCGCAGAGAAACTGAGGGAACCTTCAGGAAAAAACTATTTATGATTGTTCCTTTCTTGGACACCCTCCTTTGCACACCCGAAACCCAAACCCTACTAAAGCAACATCGGTGGGGATCTGCACCATTGCGAAACCCTGAATTACATGGCCCAAGTCTAGACCAAAACCCTCGCTACGTGGTAGAGCAGAAGCCCTAAACCCTGAACCCTAAACCCTAAACCCCGAGCCCCAAACCCCAAATTCCAAACCCAGCCTTCAGAAGAAGTTCGTTGGACGTGTCCGGCAGCCTCGCCTCCAAAAAAACAATAAACGCTGAAGCTCATGCAGATGGAGGTTTGCCAAGATTCTTGGGGTACCGATTTCGGGGTTCCTGGTCCCGAAAACTTTTGTGGTACCTAAGCGGCTCCCTTCTTTGTTGAACCCCCCCACGAAAACGCCTCAAGAGTTCAGGGTTGAGGGTTTAGGGTTTGGGCGCCGGGCTCGACACAGCTTGTGCTTGAAGGCTGGCGCCAGGCGCTACCCCCGTAAAGAAAGGGCGACTGTGAGGCCCAGGAGTCACATCACCTTGTCCAAACCGCTTGTTTGCAACGATGTGCCAACGCACCCCCAAATGCTCTAAATAAAGATGTGTTCCGTCCCCCAACCCGAAATCCGAATTACGAAACCCGAAGCCCGAAGCCCTAAACCCTAAACCCTAAACCCTAAACCCTAAACGAAGGCAGGAAGTGGCTCAGGCCTCGATGGAGCGCCTGGCTTGCGCAAAGCAGCCGGGGGGAGCCCCAGATCCAGAGGGTTTAGGGTTTGGGGTTTAGGGTTTAGGGAGGGAGGGAAGGAGGGACGGAGCAGCGGAAGAGAGTCCGAGTGTACGTTTGTGTGTGTGTGTGTGCTTCTCTGCGTGCGTGTGTGGGCGTTGTGTCTGTGTCTGTGTCTGTGTCTCTGTGTCTGTGTTTGTGTCTCTGTCTCTGTCTCTGTCTGTTCTTTTTGGGGAGCATAGGGCTGACCTGGAACTGAACGCACGGTAGCTTCGGTTCGGTTGGCGGGGGGGGGGGGGGAACCTGACCAGCATGCTTAGAGGTCTAGAGCACCACAGGTGTCTTGACGTCTCCTGGCTTAGCATACGCCGAGACCCGACGGATGAAGAAGACAACCTCGGAGCTCCTGATTCCGCCCCAAAATTCCAAAGAACCATGGCTACTACCTCAGGCTGATGCAGTGCATAGTGCAAGACCTAGCCGAAGGGCAATAAACTACGGCACAGTGCTCCTTCTGGGTAGCTTGTCATACCCTTATACTCGGAATAGAACGGGGCCAATTTGTGTACTTCATATTGGCACTCCGAAATTCCTAAACCCTAAGCCCAAATCAGGGTTCAGGGTTTCATCCCTAAACCCTAAACCCTAAACCCCAAACCCCAAACCCTAAACCCTAAGCCCCAGAACTCAACGGCGGCCAAAGGCGCGCGAAGAAGTCGTCGGGGTGGCGGCAGAAGTGCTGCTCCAAGGGTGCGTCCTCGGGGTTTAGGGTTTAGGATTTAGGGTTTAGGGTTTAGGGCTCCTAAAACTCACCCACAGTCTGCTCCTTGAACCCTTGTTAGAAAATGAAGTACGCTGATCATAAATATAAATAAATAAACAAACATATATATATATTAAAATCTATATATGCGTATACACATACTGATGAGAGTGATGGCAATGGTAGCCGAACGACATATGAGCCCTGAACCAGAAATCTTCTTGTTACTAACCAACAGTAAGATGAAACCTCAAGGGGTCCCTGCCATGGCAATCAGCACCGCCGTAGAGGGACGGCCCCGGCGTCCTGGCCATGGGGCACCGGGGTGCAGTTCTTCGCAGTCCTTGATGACTTTGTACTACTGCTTGCCTAAGAACCACCCCAAGAACGAAAAGACAATCATCCGAATAAGGAAGAAAATTTAGCATTTTCTGGGGAGGTTCTTAAGCAAATAGTAGTTTAGTGGGTAGGCCCTGTGGGGCAGCAGCTGAACCAGGCGTTGGTCTGTCCGGCAGGGAGCGAGGTGAAAGGGTTACAAACAAAAAGACTGACGCAACGCCGAACTCTGAGCTCGCAAGAAGCCTCCCATCCGACTCCGGGTCCCCTTCAATCGCCCTAAATAGACTTCGACCTCAAGAACTAGTGATGGCTTAAGAAACCCCCAAAAAACCCAAAAACAAACTTCCTTGTAAGGGTACTACAGGGAGTGTTATCTTTTGGTTTTCTGCGGGAGGTTTTTAGACATGTAGTAGAGAATCAACCGCCTTCCTTCTTGTGCAGAAAGACGGTTGCCGGCTCTCGAAGCAGACCCTACCCCTTAAGCCCCTGCGCCTGCTCGGCCGGCCTGCTGCCACACAGACCTGGGAGTAGGTCTTACGTGAACACTGCAGAGCAAAGCAAAGAAATCGGCACTGGCACAGCTTCTTCCAATCACTCTCTCGTATCTTGGCAGCTATAGAGGTTGATAGCCAAGGCCACGGACTCAGGCCTGGAAATATGGCGGTCTGTGTGTGATGTTCATCATTATATGCAGGGAGGGCAGAGCAGCAGCTCATACCCACATCATCAAACCCAGCGCTGCTGCGGAGCCCCTTCTTAAGCCCATGATAAACACAAATTCCTCACATGCAACATGGGCAAGGCAAAACGACGTCGACCTCCCACCTCACCCTGTGAACTTGAAGCCCTGCGGAAACAGAAGCCCGCAGGCTAGGCCACCCAAGAGCCTACTCCCAATCTGCTGAAAACCCTAAGCCGCCAAACTTGCCAACTCCCCCGACCCTAGACCCCCGGAGCCCCAAACCCTAGTTCAGCCCACAGAGCCCTAGACCCTAACACACCCCCAACCCCTGAACTGTAAACCCACAGAGCCCTAAACCCGCCAACCCCGCAACCCCTAAACCTCTGAGCCTCAAACCTTGGAAGCCCAGTAGCTATATTACAATAACAGCACCCTGTTTTTGGGGTTGGCTGCTTTAAACGGGAACCCGGAACCCGCAAGAGAGGGTAAAGGGTACCACTGGGCCCCCAAGCCCCAAGCCCCAAGCCCCAAACCCTAAACCCTAAACCCGAAACCCGAAATCCCAAACCCCAAACCCCAAACCCTAAGCCCTAAATCCTACCCCAGAAACAGCCACTCCACTCCCAGGACCCCGGCGCCACGGTCGGTGGGACGCCCACGTGGAGGGTCAGATCGAGGTCCCCGATGTCGATGCCCAGCCTGGGGTTTAGGGTTTAGGGTTTGGGGTTTAGGGTTTGGGGTTCAGGGGTATCAGTTGTTGTAGATTTGGGGCTTAGGGTTTAGGGTTATTGGGGGTATAACTGGGTTGAGGTTCCGGGTGCTGCGAAAAATGTTTATGGAAAAATTAATTGTAGCCACAGTCATAAAATATATATATATATATATATATTATACATATACATATACATATACGACATATACACATACATACACATATACATATACATATACATATACATATACATATACATATACATATACATATACATATACATATACATATATATATATATATCAGACTATTACTATGACTATTACTAATAATAATTTGTATGAAATTATGATTCTATCATATGATAGAATTGACTTGAAACAGCAACTTTATTAAGTCAGTAATATTAAAAAATAATCCAATCCATTCCCATTTTCCATACTGCCGCCCATTTTTATCCAACCGCCCCCATCTGCTGCCGCACGTGGCTCAGGGAATGTCGTTGGCGCCTATCGGGATGCAGCAGCCCCCATACACAGAGGCGCGCTCGAGAGCGCAGACGCATCCACTTGTCAGTCGGCCCTAGAAGACGATCCTTTTCCCATTTTGGGATGAGCTTGGGGTTCTCAAAAAGGACCTCTGCAGTGGCTGCTTCGTAGGTGGCAGCGCCCAGGCTCCACGAATCAGTGAATTGCCCAACAATGGGGGGGCTACACCAAGCCTCTGGCGGACGGTACGGTTTGGTGCACACCGCTTCCACGGTGCCCGTCTGCACCGGTATCTTCTCAGACAAACTGAAGTCGATGAGGTAAAGCCTTCGAGACGCAGCCTCCCAGAGCATGTTCTTCGGCTTGACATCGAGATGCAACCAGCCCTTGTTGTGCAAGTACTCCAATGCCGCGGCCCCTTGGACGAGTACCGAGTCCACGTTCTCGAATTCCAACGGCTTCTTTTTTAGGTGGCTTGCCAGAGTACCAGAGACCACCCACGGCAGCACCAGCCAAGTGATGGTCGCGTTCTGGTTGTAGTCTAACAAGGGCAAAAAGTAAGCCTTGCTGTTCACCTCCTTTGCCTTGTGCAGCATGTCGTAAACCTCTTTTTCCACCTTCATGGAGTTGTCGCCTTCATTCTTGAAGACCTTCGCGACTGCCTGGAAGCCGGTGCGATGAGAGACCACCACAACATCGCCGTACGCACCCTGGGAAACGCGCGAATCCACCCGCCAATCTCCCAAGTGCATGGCCGCTGCCTGGCGAGGACCGCTAGGGTGGCTTGGGACAGCATCTTCAGAGTCAGCCAGGACTGGCGGCCGTGGTATGCCAGCCTCATCCATGGCCCGAACTTTCGCTATCTTCTCCTTGGCAGCCTGCTCCACGAACGGGCGCTTCTCCTCGTCTGACAGAGCTTTCCATGCCTTGGACCATGCGGAGATCCGCTTTCGTTGTTCCTCCACCGACCCCGGCTTGCCCATTGTGGCCTTCTCGGCTGCCAGGAACAAGGCATACGGGTTGCGACACTTCGGCAGCACACCTGCTTGTCGGGCTGCCCTCTGCGCGGTCTCACCTGGACAACTTAAAAATAGGCTACTATGAATTTGGTTGAATTAAGTAGCCTACTTAAGTTTTAAGAGCCAGTGTCGCGAAGTAGAACAGCCCCCCCGCCCCACCTTGGTTTCGCTTGCCGCTCCTCTTCACCTGGTTTTTTTGCACGCCAGTGGCAGCAAGTGCCGAGCTCCCCTGCCCTGCACGCACTCGCTGCAGAGTGCCCAGCAGGGTTGTTTTTCCCCGGATCCTGCCAGGGCGGCGCGTACCGCGCAATCTGAACTTTGACTTATTATGAATGACCGTTTATTAAGATTAAATGTAGTCGTCGTCCTACGGCTGGGCTGCATCAGCGCCCCTTCCGCAGCGTCGCAGGATCTGCTCATGGCTCCCGCAGGCGCCAAGGGCTTCACTGAGAGCTACACCATTTCCTTTGTCCTCTATAATAAATGCCGTCATATGACATATGTCATTCATTATCATCGCCAGAGGTAACTTCAACTGTTTTAAACTCTAAACACTTTTGGATTTTTACATTCGTCATAGGCTTCCCTGCCCTTGAAGAACCAGTTTCGTTTCACCACGAGCACGCTGCAATTTTAGCATTCAGGTACAGTGATTCAATGCAATTTCAGAACAATCCAACGAAGACATTAATCTCAGTCTCTGCATCAAAGCCAACTCCGAGCTGGTGCCCTTTTTTCAGCGGCGGCCTTGGTCGTACCATACCCGCTTGGTTTTGTCGCCCCCCCGCGGCCTTTTGCGGCCCTCAGCCCGCTGCTTTGCTCGCTTGGACTCAGTGCAGGCGGGCCTACTCTCGACCTCCTTTTTGACCTCCTCTTTGACCTCCTCCTTGACCTCCTCCTTGACCTCCGCCTCGGGCGCAGGTGCTGGCTCCAGCTCCGCTTCCTCCGGCTCCACTGGCTTCGCCATGGCTGGCACCGCTGGCTCCGCTGGCTCTATGTTGCCTGCCACCCACGTTGCAGAGCTCGACGAGGCTGAGCCGACAGTTTCCGACTCAATTTTGGAGCTGCCACCCTCGCGCTTGGCCTTCTTTGCAACATCCTGCTCGACGAGGTCCTTGAACTGGAAGTTCGCTGCCCCGAACTCGTTCAGGAAGCTTTCTGTCATGGCGCGTGGCGCGGAAGAGAGGACAGGTCGAAGGCTCGTGGCTGCTCGGCATCATGAGAACATGAAAGGCTGCCTAAGGCAGCGGTTCACAGATCGTCAGGGCAAGCCACTCAAGTCGCACTCCCTTTTCTCTTATTATTTATTATGCCAGAGTGAGAGTGTGAGATGATGTTTCATACTGAATCAATGCAAGTCATATTGAAAAAAAAACAATATGTGATATTTCTGAACAGTATGCAACACGCAGCCTACTGCACAGGCTTTTTTTGCTGTCAGCCGTCCCCGTTGAGCTGAATCCGTCTGTTTGGCTGCTGCCGTGCACACTCAGGAGTACGCACTTCGCATCCTTTTACCTGTCGTACTCCCCGTGTCGTAGGATGCCGCCCCCCTTTTTTGGCCGCGCTGTGCTGCTGTCTGCTTCTGGGCACCACGCCTCTCGTTCCTGGCAACCTTCTTCAAGGCGGGCGTCTTGCTTGCCTTCAACGTGACCTTCTTGCGAGTCGCCTTCTTTGCTGCCCGGGTTAAGTCCACCCAGACACCCCTTCCCGTCTTTGCGGGCTTGTTGGTCGCCGCGGCCTTCAGAGCGCCCAGGCGCAGGAGTGACATGCCACAGAGCAAGGCCCCTGCAACACAAGCGCAGTGCATAGTGTTACCAGCTAAGCTGTGTAACTGCATCTTCGTGAGCTGCTGGGGCACGGAGATGCGGTGCATCGGCAGGGCGCTTAAGAGCATCTTCTCTTCAGCGCAGAGGAGCCTGTTCAACTCGCCGCTGAACAACTTGGACCCCGGAGTGACACACGGGGTTTTGCCATCCAACGCCACCGTCTTTCGCTGCAGACTCTGACTCACGTCGGCCACAAACTTGTTGCCCTTGCCCTGTTTCTTCACCTTCTCCACCCAAGTCTGCTTGAGCACCTCCGTTTGTTTGGCTGTCAGGCCAGCGACATTGAACGGCAGACTGGCAGCAGCGGGTGCTGCGTTCTTCTGGGCTGGCTTCGGACCCTTGCTCCCAGAAACCTCTTCCAGAACACATTGTGTGTTGGACGGCAGCAGGTAATCGGCCAGGTGTGGCGGCACCGGCTTCCGGAAACTTTCCAGGAGCTTCCGCGCGAAGTCCGCCAGCTGGCCTGGGTTCTGCGTGATGCACATGTCTTGTCGCACTGCCACGAAGTAGAACCGCGGCCGTCTGGCTGGGAACCCAAACTCCGTTGGGCACACTTGCAGCAGCAGAACAATGTACTCGTGCAGCTCACGCTGCATGTCGACGCGGACCTTCGGCATGTACTTCATAAGACCCAGCACGTTCTCGAACACAGCCAGGCATGGCCGCTTCTTTTTCGCGGTCTCCAGCATTGCCTGCGCACAGTCAGGGCAGAGCACAAAATTAATGATAATCGATAATACTTCGACGAATTAAGTTACGTTACAGTTAATAACTACTTTCAGACTACACCGTCATCTGTTGAAAAGACGTTCGGCCGCATCGGCCTTGAATGGCTTTGCTGCCTTCTCCTTGAAGCCCTTGCTGTCGTTGTGCAGCGAACTGTACGGCTTGCAAGGGAAGCCACAAACATAGATGTGCGGGGCTGGGAGATCTTCCAGCGACCTTGCCAGCATGTCGGACAGGAAGACCTCTGGCTTGGTCACAGCTCGGATAAAGGTCTCCGCGTGCGGCGCATTGTCGCATGCGAAGCAGTGGCGGAAGCTGATCCCCATGGCCCGAAGGCTGAAGATAGGTGCTTCGCACCCCGAGCAATCGGTGCCCACCGTCACCGGTGTGGACGCCAGCTTGGGCTGTGCCGGCAGGTGGCACTCCTGCAGCCAGGCGGTGCGCACAGTCTCCGCTTGCCGCAGCATCCACGGCCCATAACCCTCCAGGTCCCGCAGCATGCGTGCCGGAAGCTTCAGAGTCCCCGACATGGCTCTCTGCTATCTGTCAGCCCCACCCCACGCCCGGCAACTGGGCCAACCTCGCATCGAAGACATAGTGGACATGCTACGACTGCACCTACTCTGCAAACAGCGCAACTCTTCCAAGTACGGCCGCGGGGCGGTCTGTTTACGCTCGTGCTTCAAATCTTTGTCAGCGGTATTTCACCAGTCAGAACTTGTCCTACTCATGGGCAATGGTGCAGCTGCATGATGCACATCCAGATTTATTATATTATTGCATATTAATATTACATGACAGTACTAATGACCATACTGTTTCCACTAAGTTCATACTGAAAATATGCAGTAGGGAAACTCCAAAATCAGTATGACGGATACTGCATCTGCTGAACCCCTTGGCCAGTCGTACACGTAGTGGCAACTCCACTGACTGGCACGTTCACTCGCTGCCCATGGTCGGAGCGAAGGAGACATGGTCACGCCTCTTCTTGCTCCTCCTCGTCGTCTACATCTGCCTGCTCGTACTCCTCCAACAGCTCCCCGAAGTGGTCACGTATCAGGTGGGCGGTGTCTTCCTTGAAGAATGCTGAGCCTTCCTTCGCCATCATGTGCAGCACGTGCTTCTCAAGCACGTTCGCCAACCACCCCAGGTGCACCTCGCTGCGCAGCATGCCGAAGTAAGCAGCCTCCGTTGCCATGGCCGCGCGAGCAAGCTCCCCATCACCTGGGGTCAGGTCTACCACTTGGTAGACATCCAGCATGTTCAGAACCGTAATCCAGAACTCCATGGACTTCGTCGAGGCCCAGAAGAGCGGCACCTCGCTCTTTCTCCAGGAGCTGGGCTCCACGGACTCGGGGAAAATCTGGGCTTTTTCCGACTTGATAATCAACGGACCCCGGCGGCTGTCATTCTTCTCAATGCCCACGATGTTCATGTCGTGCGTCGTTGCAATCGTGCCGGGCGGCTTGTAGGAATCGTCCCGATCTTTCACGGACAGCCGCACTCGTGGCACTGACAAGCGCAGGTAGAGGGACTCCAAGTTGGAGCTGCCGCAAAAAATCTTGCGGCTGCGGCCCAAGCCCACACCGCCGGGGCCACGTGCCTGGTACAAGGCGTGAAAGTTAAACAGCCCGCCCCCGCCCGGGACTCTGCCGCCCAAGGCTTTCAAGATGGTCTCTCGGTTAGACGCTTCGCAGCCATCCAGAACCAAAATGAGATCTGAATCTTGGTTCATGGTCACGAGCCACTTCAAGACGCCGTCGACCTCAGACGCATCCACAGCATGTGTCTTGGCGTGGCTTTCGGCCGTCTCTGTCCACAGATCCATGGACAGCACGAAAAGGCGATGCTGGGAGTTGAGGCTGCCACAGAAAGATTTCGCTGAGCTTTTCCCATACACAGCGGCCCACGTGTCCTTGCCCTTCATGATGGCCAGCTGAACTTTCTTCTTCCTCAGGGCTTGTGCTTCCTTCCAAAGCCGGTCTCGCTCGGCAGCCTTTCCAGACTCGTCGCTGGCGGTGCGCATAAGCGATCTCAATGTCATCGGTGCAGCGTTGCCGACGCTGCTGGACGCAGTGAACCCTGCCTTGGACGAGTCGTTCAGAGCCTCACTCAGTGAGAGCTGGAGGGTGGCAGTCAATACTGATTTCTCATTTCCTATACTGCTTAACTGTCAGTATGCAAAACTACAAAACAGTATGCACAGCTAAGACATTGTCAATGTCCAGAGTCCAGACATCTGAATTTCAAAATTTTTATTTCGCGGTCGGCCCCTCCTGTGTAACTTAATCAGATCATCGCCATGCTTGGAACGCGGGGGAGAGAACGGCTGAGGTCCAGGCCGCCATGGCAGCCTTCAGCGCCTTGCCCAGCTTCGTCTCTTTCTCTCCAGTCTGCTGCAGCGTGTCCCAGGGACTGGAGACATTGGTCACGGTTTTCAGGTCGGCTTCGTACTCGCCCTGGAAGAGGTCGCGCACCAAGCACGCAAGGAGCTTCCCACCCTTGCTGCAGTCAGCGGCCAGAGCATCCATGGCATCGATATCTCCCTCCGTCAGGTCACCGCCTGACTTGTCTCCCTCGGCGGCATCAGCATCCCCTGCTTCTTCCGCTGGCATGACGTTGTCGTACTCGATGGGGTTGCAGAGCTTCTCCATAAGCTCGGCGTCTCGACGCAGCGCTGGCTCCTGCTTCTCCCCCATGTCCGCGGCTGTCCTCGCTGCCTGCAGGATGCTCTGGAGCAAGAAGTACTTCGTGCACGCCACAGCGATCCAGCCTGGCCGATCGTTGCCTTTGCTGTCCAGCGTGGGCAGCTTGAAGAAAGAGGCATCCAGGTAGCCGCGCCGGAGACACATGAGCGACACCTCCAAGCAGAAATGGATGACATCCCTGTCTGCGCCGGCTTTGCCACACTGCTGAACGATTTTGCTGGCCAGCTGGCCCAGCCGCATGAGCTTGTTGTAGCCGCTGGTCCAAACCTCTGAGCCGAACTCTCGGTCTACGGAGAGCAGCACGCTCTCCATGCGCTGGCCCAGCATACCCATGACAACATTCAGAGCTGTCACCATCGTCTTGTTGGCCTTTGCACGGTTGAAGAGGATGTTGCGGTCCTCCAGGACCTGCTTCAAGTCCGCAGTGTCCTCGCCCGCAGACTGAAGGTCCGCGGTCAACTTGCGAACCTTCTTCGCGAACAAGACAAACGTGTCCGCGGCCTCAGCCGTGCGCAGCAGTTCGCTGGCGTGCATGGACCATGTCAACATCTGATCCATGGGTGCCTCCACATGCACCCTGACGGTCACCGTGAGCGCCATCTCGTGCAACCGCAGCAGGCGCTCGTCGTCTGCCGATGCCAGCGCCCTCGCCATGGCGGTGAACCAGGCGAAGAGGTAGATTTTGCCACTCATCATGAAAAGATTTGTTGGGAAGCCGTCGCCAGGGGGCACCAACTGCTGGAGCTGGTTGTAGCAGGTCAACGTCTGCGTAAAGTAAAGCCGCCCATCCGCCTTTCTGGCCTGGGCCGGAATGTGTGCCTGCTCGAAGGTCAGGACATCCTCCCAGCTGGGCTCAGCCAGAAAGCTGTCCAGCTCCCCCGCTGCTGCCTGGACGTTGGTGTCCAGCCAGTACAGGCTGCCGCCCGCCTCGTACATACGGGATGCTTTCAGTGATGTGGCCGCGTTGCGAGGCGTCCAGATCTCCTTGAAGTTGCACATGTTGCTGCTGCCCGGCACGTTGTCCCCAATGGTCAAGGGGGAAATCTCCCTCAGGGCAGTGCCCTTGGGACAGAGCTTGGCGGCTTCCAGGCGTGTGGGCAACTCTTGCAGCACCTGAGCTCAAGACTGCGGGCCAGCAAAGTCCCTCGGCTCCGCTACTCACCGGCTGCTGCCAAGAGACCCACGGAACGATCTTCTTCATGATGCTCGTTGCGTCCGTGCGCTTGGACTGCGCGGTCCAGGCAGGCAAGTCGACCTGGACCAGCTTCGGCAGGGGGGGCGGTGGAGGCGCTACCGTGCCGGCTGCTTTCTTTGCCGGGACCGCCGCTGGCGCAGCTGGAGTTGGAGATCGCTTTCGCTTGGCGGCCGTCATGGCTCAGAGCAAGCGAAGAGGATCGAGGGCAGGTCTCAGAACTGAAGGCCAAAAAACGCTAACATGGAATACGGGGGCGGATTTGCGAAAATCTGCCCCCGTATTGGAAGTGATTACGTAACATGCAATACGGTCCAAGAGGCAGGACATAATTGACAGTGTATTCCATGACACGGGCTCACACGCAATACGGGGGCAGATTTTCGAAAATCTGCCCCCGTATTCTATGATACCAGTTCCCACACAATACGGTCTGGAAAGCCGGAAAGCCTGAAACAGTTTTGACACGCCAGGATCAGGCGAGTTGTGGTGCTGGATCTGCTTCCCCCAGTTTCCCCGTCAGCTCTAAACCCCGCAGCAGGCAGCCTAGGACTCAGTCGCTCTCTGCTTCTGCTGCATCCCCCTCGAAAACCGGAGCAGCTCGGCGCTTCGCGCCAGGCTTGTTTGGAAGCTGGCCTGTCGGCCCCAGTTTCCAGTTGCTCCCCTCACAAGTGAGCTCCGAGTCGTGGCGCGCCAGCCGTCTCACAGCGGCCAGGAACTTACACAAGCTCAAGCTGTCAGTCACCAGCCAATCCGCCTCCGCCTCCATGTCGCAGATCCTCCAGCGGGACTCTGGCAGGGCGACGATCCTGGCCAGCCAGCGTGCAACAGCGCCATGGCCGTGGCGAAACTCCGCAGAAAGAAAGATGCCGGCGGGAACCAATTTGTGGGCAGCATCATAGTCCCTGATGTGCCGGCAGCGATTGCGGGTTTTCCAGTGAGCAATGCTGGCGATCCCTTTGCCCAGGGCAACAAGGCCCAGCAACCAGGTGAGCTTCGAAGACCTCGTCGTAGTTCATGGCCAGGCAGGTGATTAAAAAGAAAGATTTAAGACGCAAGACTACTAATAAGCATGCAAAGTGTTACAATAAACAATCTCTTATGATGGCATCCGTGCGCCCAGCACGGCCTTGCTCAACGGCCACCGCATCGTCGACCACCAAGATGGACGTCCTCTGAAAGTCTTCGTAACTGATGTTGCCCTGGCAGCGCTTGTAGCGGCAACCGGGGAAAGCTTCGGCGGCGTTGCATTCCGTGGAGAGATCAGCCACCACCGTCTGGCGCTGCAGTTGGATGCAAGGCCCCTTCTTGAAAACCCTGCCTACCCGCAGAGGCGGCATCAGCGGCGGCTGCCGTGCCAGCTGCCTGGCACGCTCCTGGGCCCTCTCCGCGTTCTTGGACTCCGTCAGCTTCTGGAACTTCTCCAACTCTGCATTCCATCGACCATTCTGCCGGAGTCTCTCGCTGGAACGCTGAGCAAAGCTGCTAAGTCGCATGCCCGGCACCACGGTGGCGCTGTTGCCTGCAGGCGGGCGCTGCATGGAGGCCAATGCGTTGCTGGCCTTAACTTGGCCGCGGAACACGGAAGCCATGGTACCCTGGCGTTTAACTCGTGTCTGGCCTTTGTCGGCACGCTCCTTGTAGCAGCGAAAGCGTCGCCCATGATGCTGTATCCAAAGTTGGGCGCATCGTCGGGTGAAGCTGGTCATCTTCAAGACGGCTTTGTCCGCCAGAGCGAACGGGTCCAACAAAGCAGCTTCGGCATCCTGGGCAACTTCCTCACCGGAGAGCCGCAAAGCAAGATCGGACTCCTGCCGGGGCCCGTCGAGACGAAGCTCGAGGAGCATTGCAGCACAAACGCCACGCTCGTCCAAGGAGGCCTCGTGGTGCTTCAGGAGCTCTCTGAGCTGGGCAAGGTCCCTCTCCACGGAACACTCCCCATCTTGCACACTCACGTAAAAAGCCACCGCCTCCTGCAGGACCTGAAATCGACTCTGGCAGCCCGGCAGTTGCTCGCCCCGCAAAACACGACGCCAGCAAGGGCGTGAGTCCTGCTTCTCGCACGCATTGGAGACGGCAGCCTCGTCTTCCAAGAAGGCATGCACCGCTGCTGACGTCTCCTGCCACAGCACATGGCTGTCCAGACCCAAGGCCCGCGCCAGCCTGGCCGCCCGTCGCTTCATGGATGCGACATTGTCCCCCCATGTGCCGGGGTCGTCGTCGGCCTGGACCTTGAACTGCTGCCACAGAGGGAGGTCGAACAAGGCAAACGCCATGTGCAAGTCCGGCTCGGACATGTCTGAATAACATCTGGAGATGACAGCGTCAACCACCACATGTAGGCCAGACATAATCTCCTTGCACTTGGCTTTGTCCGTGGGCCCCCATAGGCAATGCATGCGGTCGCCATATTGAATGGGAGCCGCTGCCATAGCAGTTCGCACGCCCATGTGCGTGAACGTCTCGGGCAGGATGCTGCCGTCAGGCTCAGGCTCCAGCAAGATGCGCCCCTCACTGAAAAGCCTGCGTAGGCGGCAGACGAAGTCGTCCCGAAGACGCAACGTTGCAGCGATGTCCGGGTCCCTGACATCGAAGTGTCGCACAAAGCGCAGAACCTCCGCGCCGAAATCGGCCGCGAGCCCCGCAAGCAAGATGTTCTCGCCAGTGAGGCGCTCCAACATCTCGCGACATCGATGGCGGACCCGGCCGTCCAAGCGATGGTCCATGCTCTGCGCAGCAAGCAGCAGAGCCACGGGCAGCAGAAGGGCAATGAACTTCCCTTGCGGGCTTGAAAAGGAGTCGAACCTTTGTTTGGCGAAGCTGAGCGTCTTGATTGCCGCTGCCAAATTGTTGTGCTCTGAGGCTCCTTGGGCCTGGCCTGCCATGTTCCCGCTCGCCTTGAGAACAGCCTGTTGCAGAACGTGGAATCGCATCCGCCACTCCGAGGAATTTTGCAGATCTGGGATCAAGGAGTGTTTGGAGCCCCAGACGGCGTGCCACCAGCTCTTAAAGTTCTCCTCCATCGTAATCGGCAATGACGCACGCCTAACGTTGTGCGCCTTGTCAAGGAGGCACAGGACCAATCTGGGGTAGCCTTGCTGCAGAAGCTTCCCACATTTGCGCATTGGTCGACCCCCATCAGAACTGTAGGACGACAGCACCTCCTTGAATCTTTGCATTACATCCACGTCCGGCTGCTGGCCCTTTCCCATGGGGGTTGCGAGGCGCTGCAAGGCCGTCTGTATGCTGAGACAGATCTTCTTGGAATAATCCTCATCCAAAGCTTCTGTTGACGGGGCCTGGCCTGCGTTCCTCAAAACGGAGAGAACACCATCGCCGTCAGCCAGCCACGGCGCCGCCATGGAGTCCGCTGCATCCGTGTCGATCTTCTGCCTGGCACAGCGATACCGCACCACACGGTAGGGAGCCTTGTCGTCCAGGCTGATGGACGCGTGGTCGGCCGTCGCCAGGATGCGGCGTTTGGTCTCCCTGACCACTTCCACCATGATTTCCACCATGTCCTTTATGGCCGTGCGGGTCAGGTGCCTCGCATCCCCACGCTTGCAGGTCACATAGGCCTCCGTCTTCTCATGAGCTTCGGCCTTGAGGAAGCTGATTGGACTGCGAACAGTTCTCCACGCACGAACCCAGTCGTGCAGCTGGGGCACTGCGCCCACGAGGAGACTCGTGTCGCTCGGGTCATGACAGACCAATTGCGACAAGCTGACATCGGGCAGCTGCATCGCCTTGAGGGCTGTGAGGTGGATTGCAGACTGGGCGTGGAGCTGGAGGCAAGATGCCTGCATGCAGTGCACGCTGGAGATTTCGAAGCGGGCCCACTTCGTAGTCCACCTGCGACGCAGGTGCCCTATGCCGTTGTCTCGAAGAGAGGAGGCACGCTGAACCAAGTGTGCACACACGCCACAGCCGATGCCCCATCGCTGGCCCAGACGAGCTGGGCGCTCCTGCAGCCAACAGGCTTGCACGAGACACCCTGACGCAGTCCGCCGGGTGAAGCTGCCGTGAATCTTCTGCCACGTGCCCTTGCGCCTGCCGAAGATGCATCTGGCACATGTCGGGTCGTAGACCTCATGGCACCGAGGCCAAGCTCCGGCTGCGGACGGAGCAGGAACCGGATCTCCACTCAACCTGGGTCGACCACGCCTCTTGGCCATGGCCTTCACGGCCGGTCTCGCCCTTTTAGGCACGCCCTTGGGCCTGCCTTTGGGCTTGGCTTTCGGCTTGGCTTTGGTCGAAGCCTTGGCCGCGGCTTTCGCTTGGGCACGCCCTGTCCAACTCGAGGGCACTGCAGGCACCGACCTTGTCGGAGGGCTGGTGGACGGTCTCGAGCGACTCGAGGAGGCAGCGGACGTGGACTCGGAATATGCGTCATGCATCTGCCTGGCACGACGGGGCGGCGAGGAGCCATACGCAGCTTCAGCGCGGCGCTTCATGGCTGGAAGTGACAACCAGGCTCGCAATATTAAGTCGAGTAATTTCATACTGAATTACTGATTGCCATACTGAATATTAACAGTATGTAACAACCCATAAACAGTATATGCAATGTGAATTGTACTGGGACGCCACATGTTGCTCCGGAGCCTTGTGTCTTGCGACAAGTCGTGGAGAATGTGATGGCGCGATGGCAGGTCCATCCACGCATGATGCTGAACAGAAGCGGCAAAGCCGCTGAACGCGAGCAGAAAAGTGCCACAGCCACTGAATGAGTCATAACCGTCATAACCGCTGAATGCGAGCAGAGGAACACCGAACACTTGACTCACCCCGTTCTTTTCACAGGTCAGCACTCAGACTCCAGTGCAGGTTTAGCGTCAACGGCCATGGCGGGATCGATGCTTCGCCCGTGTGTGACAGTCCTTACTTGGCATTGGAGTTAAGTATTATAGAGCCATCACTTGCCCGAATATTTTAATTAGTCATGGAACATACTAGGGGCGTCTGACTCAGCATGGCACTGAGTCGATCCTGCACCAGGCCGCGAAAGAAGTTGGCTGCGTGAGACCCGGAGGGCACTGCAGTGAAAAGGCAGCTTATAGCCGCACAACTGGGTCCCCGAACCCGGACTCCATCGCAACATTAAGTACATGGCAAGTAGATTAAATTTATTGTGTAACAGTAGTACAATATTCTTACTACTTGTTATTAGTCAAACGCAGACTTTGATCGTACATAAGCAGGATGACAATGATATCATTCGTAGTTTTGATATATATAATAATAGCACCAAACAATGGTTATTATTGTTATAGTCTAGTGCCAACCGACAGACGACGAATACTGATATATTATGGAACTAAGAAACAGCACTGTCTGCGTCTGACTGAAACAGAGGTCCCATGTGCATGCTGCCGTCAAAACGAGAAGACTAGGGCCCAGGAGACTGGAAGCAGGAGTGCCGCGTAGGCCTAATGCGAAATTGGGCTGACATAACGAAAGCAGGCTGCTGCTTGGCACTGACTAATTTTCTATATTATTATTTATAACCACGAGTCTCCCAGCCCGGCATGCTCACGCAGGCGGCGGAAGCACGCCTTCGAGCTCCATGAGCATGGCTTCCATGTTCGACGCTTCATCGTCGAAGGATTGCGAAGCTTGTCTCATTATGCGGCTGCTCACCCTCAGCGCGCTTGCCGATCGAGACATCGTCGCCGCCGCTCTCATCAACAGTTGCAACATCGTCTGGGGCGCCGCTCGCCCCAGACCGACGATGGGGCGGAGCGGCGCCCCAACCGTCATCCTCCCGGCGCAGGCAGCCAGGGCGGTGGCATCCAGCGCTGCTTGGCCATCCCACACTGGGGCTGGCGCGCCAAAACCTGGGACTGGCGTGCCCGCTGGCGTGCCCGTGGTGCCCGGCGCTGGCGGGGCCGTGCCCATTGTAGCCGCGGCCGTGGTGGCCGAACCTGTGGAGGCGGCCGTGACCGGGGCTGTTGGCGCGGCTGCAGTGCCTCGGCCATCTTGGGCAGGCGTGGCCGCCCCTGTCTCTGCTGGCGTGTGTGCAGGGGCTGGTGGCGGCGGGGCTGCTTGTGCCGGGGCTGGTGGTGCCGTGGCTGGTGCTGCGGACGCTACTGATCCGCTCCCGGTGCTTGCTGTTGACGGCGGCGCTCCGCTTGTGTTGGCTGGTGGCGTGGAAGGGGCTGCAGGCTGGCCCATGACCTCCAGGTACCCCGTCCTGTTTTTCACGCGGATGGGTTTGCCGTCCGGCTGGTCTTGGGCGGACCAAATATACATGTTGGCCTTTTTGCTCTGAGCGTACGCGGCCTCCGCGTCCCCAGCATCAGCGAAGGCCTCGTGCTTGCTCTGGAGGTGTTGGGTGACCGCGGTCCTGGCCTGCTCCACATCCATGTAGGGGCCGAAGTACCGCTTGTCGCCACACTCAGATTGTCGCGGGCACAGCGCCCAGAGGATCTTCCTGGGCTCGGTGACAGTGATGCCGCCGCTGCCACTGCCACGCTGCGGCGACCTGGACCTGGAGCGGCCGCGGCGCGGCGGCGTCCTGGACGGCTCGCGGCGGACGCGTCGTCGCTCGCCCATGGCGCAAGGATGCCGAGCGGCACAGACCGCTGCTGCTACCAGTGACACTACACGTACAGTCACTGAGACGTAACTGATCCGACTTAAGTCTAGTTTAGGGTCTTAGGTCCTTAGGGTTTAGGGTTTGCGGTTCAAGGTAGAGTGAAGGTATGGCAGCCATTACTTTAATATCCTGCTCTGTAATTAGTATTTGGTATAGGCTTAGAGTATTCATTGAATATTATAGCACCAACTGCGTCTTGCAGCTAAGCCCGCAACAGCCACCTAGCGACAAGGAATAGAGCACTACCTTCTCAACCTACTAAGTTTTCTCAACCTCAAGGCCAAGGCCAGGCTTGTTCTACACTCAAGTCTAGTCAGGTCCTGACTGTGACTCATCACTAGGCTATTAGGTTAAGCCCAAAGCATTAATTATCTGTCGCTGTCTTACTTTGTCGTGAACTGGCACCTGGACTACAGCCCAATCTTGCAAACGTGCGGCGGCAGGCTTCCGTAACCTAAACGTATTGCCTCGTCGCACTCAGCATGAATTTAAATGTTGTACACAGGCTTGGGGAGCGGACTTGGAGACAAGGCCTCCACCCACTTTTTGCTCTCACGCTGCAAGTGCCAAGATCGCGACAATAGCCCTTGAGGAGCTATCATCTCATCAGTCTCATTCCAGGGGCAAAGTAGTACTTGGTACAGCTAAGCCGGCAGCCAGGCAGTGATTGTCATGGCTGCAAAACATCTTGCAATAATTGAATTATGTGCCTTCCCTGGTGTCGATCATGGGGTTGAAGATCGCTTCCGCTTCCGTGCCGGAGAGCTTGATGATGTCAAGCTACCTTGCTGGCCTGTCTCCGTCGGCATCTTGTCTTCATTCTTCTCATCTTTCTTCGCTGCAAGCCACTGTTTGCCGGCCCGGAACCATTGCCACCACCAGGAGGTACCATCGGTTTGCCACGCCCAACGCCACTCTGTCGTCGGGGATCTCGAGCGGGAGCGACCTCTCTCCATTGCACCCGCGTCCAGCTAAGGGCTGACCGAGATATGGGGCACTGTCAACCAAAATTCTGCCGGTCGTGGCTATCAGCAGCATGGAGTCTGAGTTCATCATTTTCAATTTAAACAAAGGGGCGGGGGGGGGGGGGGGGGGGGGCCGCTGCAGCATCCGATTTAAGCGGCTGGGCCGCTGAGTCGACATAAGGCGGCTGAGCCGCTCAAAACACAGAGCGGCTGGGCCGCTGAGTCAACATAAAGCGGCTGAGCCGCTGAGTCAACATAAAGCGGCTGAGCCGCTGAGTCAACATAAAGCGGCTGAGCCGCTTGTCTGCGAAAAGCGGCTGAGCCGCTCCAGCAGAAATGACACCGGCTGCACCACTCATCTTACGGAAAGCGGCTGAGCCGCTAGCTGGCGCAACAGAAGCGGCCGGGCCGCTGATCCAGTGCCAGCAGAAAGCGGTGGACCGCTGGTCAAACAGAAAGCGGCTAGGCCACTGATCGAAGAGAAAGCGGATCCTGGGCCGCTGACACAGCACAAAGCGGCTCAGCCGCTGATCTAACAGAAAGCGGCTGAGCCGCTGTGTCGGAATTCAAGCGAGCGGCTACGCCGCTGATCCAACATAAAGCGGCCGAGCCGCTGATTAAACCAAAAGCGGCTGAACCGCTGCAACAGCTGGGCTGCTGCCTGATAACAGAGAAAGCGGGTCAGCAGCTGAAAGGAAAGTGACTGAGCTACAAAACGCCTGATGAAGGATTGAGCTGTTCAACCCTTCTATAAGCCCTTTGCTTTCTTGACATGTGAGTCCGTCTGTTGCGGCGAGAAGTGAAACCAAACCACATTGAACGCGCCATTCCATTTGCCAGTATAGCATTAATTTATTTATTGTCAGTATATCATTAATAATATATGTTTGTCGTATATCATCTCATTCCAAATTACCAATTCCAGGGAAAATAAAAAATGTCCCAAAGCCCCAGCCAGATAAGTGCAAGGTCGTAGATTTAGGGTTTAAGAGTTTAAGCGGTATGAGGGTTCACGGGTTTATGGAGTTTTGGGGGCTAGCCAGGACTTCCAAGCTTTAGAGTTCAGAAGGTCCGGGAGGTCAGAGACAAGCTCTAGACAAGTTTTTTGGGGGTGTGCTCATCATACCTGCGGGATTCGGGTGCTGCACCTTGAAGTCAATTGTCGGGCCCCAGCGACGCTTTTCATAATCCGACCCGGACATTCATCATGAGACCCTGACAGTGAGAAGAGAGTGCCCTTCCTGTTAAACCCTACGGCCATACCTTTCCCACGCCCTGCTACGCGCACGGCATCGGGGGCGCGGCTCCAGCGCGTTGGTGGCAACGACGCCTTTGCTCCGGGACTGACCCCTCAGCCGAAGCCCTAGACCCTAAACCTGCCCCGAATCCCAAGGCGGCCGTGTAGGGAGGGTCCGCCCTATCACGTTGTAGTCAGACAGAGCCCAAAACAGCGGTTTTAAAACCCAATCAGTTTAGCAGCGGTTTAGTGCCCTTAGAGCTCAACGCGGGGGGGGGGGGGGGGGGGGGGCACAAGGGCAGCCGGGGCACAGAGCAGGTCGCCTGTGAAGAGCCGGCGCTCCAGCTTGCGCCTGCGCCACAGGGGTCTCGAAGTTCAGGGCCATGTTTTGGCCTGCTTTCGGTAGCCCTTGGGGCAGTTTAGGGCCTTCTTTGCGGGGTTCATGCACTTCAGGGTTTTTTAGGGTTTCTGCACTTCTGGGTTCAGGGTTGAAGCATCAACTTCTGGAGCCAGATTACCAAGAAGATCGTTCACTTCCTAGGATGGGTGCGTATCCAAGAGCATGGTGCAGGATGCAGAACTAAGAAAACCCTAAACCCTAAACCCTAAACCCTAAACCCTAAACCCTAAACCCTAAACCCTAAACCCTAAACC